CTACATGCGGTGAGCTCCCAGGGCGTGAAGAACGCCCGTCAGGGAGCGCCACAGCTCCCGGACCACAAGCGTGCTTGTGCCGATCGCGGCGGCTCCAGAACCTGCACGCAAATGGCGCCTCACGTTGCGTACAGCCTCATCGAGCTGCCCAGCAGCCGCAACTCCACCCTCTACGGGCGCAGCCAGCACGGGCGCCAGCAGCACTGCGAGCTGGTCGGCTGCGTCCAGACACGACTCACGGTGGCGATCCTGGAACGTCTCAGGGGGAATTGCAGGAAGGGACGAATGCGCGAGAACCTGTATTAGGAGCAGAGCATGGAAGCTCTCCGCGAGGCGGAAGAGCTGGGCGAGAGTCGCCTTTGGAACGCGGGATTGTGGAGGCTGTAGTGCCTGGGCCAGAAACTGAAACGGCTCCTCGAGGGAAGGAGCTGCTGAACCGCCAACTCCGTGATGAGGGTACTGCGCTCCCACCCCCGCAGCCACAAATTCAACTCCCGCCACAGGTGGAACGGGCGGGAGACGAAGCCGAGACCCAGGAACAGGAGCAGAGGCAGCCACAGCGTGAGCCGATGGGGCCGGACTCTGATGAGGGACAGGTGCAGCCGGCGGCGGGCCCACAGGAAGTTCAGCCTGTCGAGGAGCAGCACGTGCCACGACAGCGTGAGAGCTGCCTTGGGTCAGGGCGGCCCTCTCCTCACGCACCGCAGTTGACACCGCCCGCTGCAGATCCGCCATCCTCACGGGCGGATCGTACGCCCCACCACCTCCGCGACCGCGGGGACCCCACCAGCCACCGCGGCCGCCGTGGTTCGCGTGCCACTGGGCCTGCTGATGCGGGCGACGGGGAGAATTACGCCGGCGGCGAGAGGATTGACGATCCTGCTGGGGAGTGGGAGAATGAGGGCGAGATGGGCGCCGGCTGGGTGACGGCGGGCGAGACTGCTGCGCCACAGGAGCAGTCGGTGGCACAACAGGTGCAGCCGGACCCCCAACCGGGGGGCCAACCAACGGGGCCGGGCCGCCAGTGGTGGCGGACGCCGCCTGCGGGGACGAGACAGAGGCAGGAGTCGGCAACTCAGGCGCGGCGACAAGTCCCGCAGGCAAGGGAGCCGAGGGGTCGGCGACAGACTCTGGCGGGGCTGCGGGGGACGCCTGGGGTTCAGCCCGCACAGCCGGGGTAGATGGAACAGCAACAGCAGTTGAACCAGGCGCTTCCGCGACAAGGAGAGCCGCGGGTCCGGGGTGAGGAATCTTTTCAGAGGATGTTGTCGAGGGCTTCGGAGCCGGAGGCAGAGGGTGCTTCGTTGCCGTGGTCTCCCTTTCGGGCTCATACTGATGCCTGGCGACCATTGCCGACCAGGAGGCAGCGAGCTCTGGCGACGGCTCAAGAGCACCGGCAATCACCATCGCGTGGACGAGGGGCTCAGGGAGAGAGGAGGCAGACAGTTAGCGGAGCAGGTGGAGGACCGGAGAACGGGTATCAGGCGGCAGGGCGTCGGGCTTTAATGGCACTGGTAGCAGCTAATGAAGTCGAGGAGAGAAATGACCCCTCTTATACCATGGAAGAACAGCCGGAGAGTGAAAACGAAGAAGGGGATGGAGCAGAGATAACACGGGTAGGAACGGGAAGGAGAGGACCAGGTGCAGCCAGTTTACCCACGGCACAAACGGAGGAGCAAGTAGGGCCGTCCGTTGCTGATCGAACGGCTGGGAACCCAACTCGGCAGCAATCAGCGAGATCGAGCCGCGCTCGAAGAAATCAGACCGCGTCATTTCGCCATACGTCAGTCGCGAACCCGCAGATGCCCCAGTATTTTTTGCCAGAGGAGTTGGCAGAGAGGAGCGACATGTTCGCTGACATCGTGAACTGGGATATTTCCGCCCTCTGCGATAGTCGACAACCGCCACTGTCAAGACGATTACCGCCAAACTTGTGCCAGCTATTTTCGCTGGCACTCCTGACACCCCTACACCACCTCTCGCGAAACCCAGATTCCGAGGCTGGCTGGCGACTACTTCTTTTCCTCCCGCATCTAACCCTTCGCCAAGCTTCGCCAAAGCACCCAAATTGGCCGCAAATCAAGGCCCGGCTCCGGGCTTTCCAGCGTGGCGAGTGGACGCAGCTCTACCAAGATGCAGTAAACGCGGTCAACACCCCTCCACCCCCGCGTCACCAACCCGACGTGACAGGCGTATTGAGTCGAGCGGAGGGGTTGGCCAAACGTGGCAGTCTGCGCCGAGCCGTGCTGGCGCTCGAGTCAACACCCGTCTGCACGCCAAGTGCAGAAATCCTGGCCGAACTCCGACAGAAACACCCGCCAGCAGGGACGGAGTCGCTGACCTGGCAAGCAACCAGCACTCGTCCCCTAGGCATTTCACACGCTGAATTTGCGAAGCTTCTTGGGCGATGCGATAATGGCGTGGGGGCCGGACCATCAGGCACCACATTTGAGCATCTCCGCGACACGGCAATAATCAATGCATCCGTCTGCTCCCACCTGCACGCCCTGGTAAACACAATTTTGGGTGGAAACCTCCCAGCCTCGGTAGCAGACCTGCTGACAGCATCTCGACTCATCGCCCTGGCCAAACCTGGAGGAGGTGCCCGACCAATCGCGATCGGCGAATGCCTGACGCGCCTGGCTGCCAAGGCTGCGCTGTTGGTCATGGGCGAAGCTGCACGTGAACACTTCCTACCCCTACAGTTCAGCGTGGCGGTGCCAGGAGGGGCGGAAGCGATAATTCATGCCGCCCGGACGTACGTGGATGGCCATCCCAACAGCCTGGTACTGCAGACTGACATTGCGAACGCTTTCAACAGCATTTCACGACAATCCATCGCAGCAGCGTTACAAGAACCAACCCTGTCGCCGCTGCTCCCCCTGGTTCGCCTGACCTATGGTAACCCATCGCGGCTCTACCTGGATTCGAATTTTGCGAGCGAGCCTCTGCGAAGTGAACGAGGCGTTCGCCAGGGCGATCCACTGGGCCCACTTCTTTTTGCGGCAGGAATCCACCCCACACTTCGCGACATTGCAGCAGCACACCATGAGGTGCTTTGCTTGGCGTATGCAGACGACGTGACATTTGTGGGTGAACCACGTGCAGCTGTAGCTGCCTTCACCCACTTCACCACGAGGTTGGAATTACTGGGTTTAGAACATAACCCTCAAAAGTGTACCGCATGGAGCGCTGCCGCGGGCGATTCACCTGAACTGCCTCAAGGGGTGCCGTTCTGCAGGGACGGCGTCCGTCTGTTGGGAAGTTTCCTAGGGGCGGCCGACGGGGCAGCCACGTTCTTGGCGGGGCAGCTGAGGGACTTGGCGAAACCATTGCCACTCATCGAGCAGGCCGACCCACAGGTCGCCTCGCTGCTGATCACGCGCTGCATCTCCCAGCGCGTGGCGTATCTCACCCGAACAACCCCCCTCAATCTCGTCTCCTGGGATACATGGACTGAGTGGGGCCGTGACCTCCTCTTGGCACTACTCACCTCGTGCAACATTCGCGCTCCAGCGGGCAGAGCAGAGCAGTCACGGGTCTGGGCTCAGGCGTCCCTGCCCCCCTCTCTTGGTGGAATAGGCATTACAGACCCCCTCGTCGAGGGAGTTTACGGTTTCGTCGCGAGCTTCACGCAGGCGGCGCTGCTCTTCTCCGCGCTCGCGCTAGAACCGGACTCCGCACTATCTCACGCGCGCCGCCATATGCTCCTGCCTAGGGACGAGAGCACACCGCTTCACTCCTGGCTCGCCGAATGCGAAACCGCCCCGCCTTCTGACGCGCGAGAGCTGCTAGACCGGGAACGAATTAAGCGGACGGATGTCAAGCTGCAGCATGCCCTCGCCCTACAAGTCCACGGTAGCCGCTACGCCGTGCAAGTACAGGCGACGAGAGACATGGAGCTGAATCCGCTTGCGGGCCATACGCAGCGGATGTTTTCTCTAACGGGCTATGGCACAGGGGACTGGCTGACGGCGATACCTATCGAGGCGACGAGGCGCATAGGACCGGCACACTTTGCCAATGCCGTCCGATTCAGGCTTGGGTTGCCCTTCTCCACCCCCAAAAACTGTGACTGCTCGGAACACCGAAATTACAGGCCCCCGCCTCCCAAACCACCTCCTTTGATGCGGCACCGGCAAGCATCGCATCAACACCCACAACGAGCTCCGGGATGCTTGCATCAGTATGGCGCAGGATGCGGGTTTCATAGTCCACAGCAAGTTGGCAGCCCATTGTCCCATCGAGGAGCAGACGGCCGATTTCACTATGAACGACAGGAGCAGCGGAGCGGTTTGGGTGTGTGATGTAACTGTGACAGACCCCATCAGCACTCGGGACCCGGAGGCGCTGAAAGGCAGGGGATGGGCGGCCAGAGAGCAGGCAGATAAGAAGATTCAACACTATGCGAATAGACCTGAGACAGTCGGCTTCTTTCCACTGGCGGTGGAGACCTATGGCTGCCAATGTGCAGAGGTCCCCGTCTTCCTTAAACTCCTAGCAGACACGGCGGCTCGGCGCCACTTCAACGCCGATTCTAACTCCTATCATGCCGCTAAGTTTCTGCATCAGTTCAGGCAGCGGTGGTCAGTTGCTCTTCAGAGAGCACAGTCGGTGGGCCTCCTCATGAAATTGGGTGAGGCGACAACAGCTGAGAACCCCCCGGTGGGGGGGATTGGACACGAATTACACCTAGGGGATTGTTTTGTTGTTTTGGAGCCACTGGTGGAACTCTAGAGGGATTTGGTTGGAGCTTGCATGATTCTGAACCTGTATGTGTGTACCTTTCTGCCATATCAATGTACGGACCATTAGAGAGAGAGAGAGAGAGAGAGAGAGAGAGAGAGAGAGAGAGAGAGAGAGAGAGAGAGAGAGAGAGAGAGAGAGAGAGTAGCGCTTCCGTCAGAAACAGTAGCGGCTCATCAGCAGCAACGACGTGGGACGGCTGAGCCGCAGCGCCACCCCCCGCAGCAACAAACTCCACTCCCGCAACAGGCGAAACCGGTGGCAGATGCAGACGAGAGCCGGGAGCAGGCGCCGAAAGAGAAAGAGAAGGAGCCGATGGGGCGAGGACAGGAGGAGGAAAGGCAGCAGCTGGCGGAGGGTCCACGGGAGGCCCAGTCTGACGAGGAGCCACGTACGCTGGCGCGGCCCGCAGTGAACTACTCTGGCTCTGCGCCGCCCTCTCCTCGCGCACGGCACGCGACACCTCCCGCTGAAGATCCGCCATTGTCACAGGCGGGCGGAACGCCCCGCGGGGACCCCTCCAGCCCCCATTGCCACCGTGACGAGCAGGCCACTGGGCCTGCTGCTGGTAGCGCCGGGGAGAGTTGCGCCGGCGCCGCGTCGACTCGCGCTCCTGCTGGGGTGCAGGAGAATGGGGGCGTGATAGTCGCCAGTCTGGCGACTGGGGACGACTCGGCTGCACTACAGGGGCCGCCGGCAGCAGAGCGGGAGCAGGCTGGTCCACGCCCGGTGGCGCAACCATCGGAGCCGGGCCGACAGTGGTGGCGGACGCCGCCTTCGGGGAAGAAACAGACGCCGGCGCAAGCCCGCCGGGAACAGAAACGGCAGGTGCAACGGGGGCGCCAGGGACAGGGACAGGGGGAACAGCAACTCCCCCAGCAGGAGCAGGCCCCGCCGGCGCAACAACGGGAGCAGGGGGAACAGGAGCGAGCAACAACTGGGGCAGACGGGCCAGCCTCGCCCACGTCATGGGGACCCGCGGATACGAGGGGAAGAGTCTTTTCAGCGTCTATTGTCACGGGCTTCGGAGCAGACGGCGGCGGGGACCCCGTCGCCGTGGTCCCCGCTCCAGAGGCAGACGACGGCTTTTCGAACGCAACCGACGTAGCGCCAGCGCGCATTGGCGAGTAATCGGTCACTCCAGCAATCACCATCGCGAGGCCGAGGAGCGCAAGGCGGAGGGCGAGAAGCGGCTAGCGGACAGGGAGGAGGACCGGAGAACGGCTATCAGTCGGAGGCGCGTAGGGCTTTAACCAGGCTAGATAATGAGGATGACGAAAGAAGGGACCCCTCTTATAGGGAGGAGCCCATGCCTGCGAGCGAAGACGAAGGGACGGAAGGAGAGGAAGGAATAAGGGAGAACGCGGGGAGGACGGGAGAAGGACCAAGGCAGCCCCGTGGCGGGCAAAGGGACCCGGCTCGTGGACCGTCCGATGCCGATCGTGCGGGCGAGATTCCAACCACACCACCACAAGCGAGGACGAGCCGCACTAGGCGAAATCGGGCCGTGACAGACACGGCTTCGGGGCGAGAAAATTCCAATTTCGCCCGCTATTTCACGCCAGAGGAGCTGGCGATGCGGGCAGACTGGTTCGCGGACATCGCGAACTGGGATATCCCTGCCCTCTGCGACAGTCGGCAGCCAGCCCTGGCACGGCGGTTACCACCAAACTTGTGTCAGTTGTTTTCGCTGGCGCTACTGACTCCGTTACTCCACCTGTCACGAAACCCGGAATCCGAGGCTGGTTGGCGCCTTCTCCTCTTTCTCCCGCGTCTGACGCTTCGCCAAAACTCGCCACAGAGACCGAACTGGCCCCAGATCAAGGCCCGGCTCCGAGCCTTCCAGCGTGGCGAGTGGGACCAACTGTACAGGGAGGCGATTGACGCAGTCAACACACCCGCGCCGCCACGTCATCAACCCGATGCTACCGGGGTCATTAGCCGAGCCGAGGGCTTGGTGAAAAGGGGCAGCCTGCGCCGAGCCGTGTTGGCGTTAGAGTCAACGCCAGTCTGCAAACCGACTCCAGAAATACTGGACGAGCTCCGACGGAAACACCCAAGAGCCGAACCAGGGACGACAAAGTGGCCACCCAGACAAGAGTCAAAATTGTCCATCACCCACGCGGATTTCGCCAAACTGCTGGGGAGGTGCGAGAACGGGGTCGGTGCCGGACCTTCGGGGACAACTTTCGAGCACATGCGCGACGCGGCAATCACGAACGGACGAGTCAGCACCCATCTGCACGCATTGATAAACACCATTCTGGGGGGCAACCTTCCAGGACCGGTGGCGGACCTACTGACAGCCTCGCGACTCATAGCCCTGGCCAAACCTGGTGGGGGTGCTCGACTAATTGCCATCGGCGAGTGCATCACCCGGCTGACAGCCAAGGCAGCCCTCGCAGCCATGGGCGATGCTTCACGTGACTAGTTCCTGCCTCTACAGTATGGGGTGGCTGTGCCAGGGGGAGCCGAGGCAGTTATCCACGTGGCACGGGCGTATCTGGACAAGCTACCCGACAGCTTGGTACTGCAGACCGACATCTCGAATGCTTTCAACAGCATCTCTCGACAAGCCATCGCGACGGCGTTACAGGAGCCCGGGCTTTCGCCACCAGTGCCGCTGGTGAAACTGACCTACGGTAACCCGTCCAAGTTGCATCTCGACGCCAATTTCGAATGCGACCCACTGACCAGCGAACAGGGCGTACGGCAAGGTGACCCACTTGGCCCTTTATTGTTTGCGGCGGGAATACACCCAGCACTTCGCGACACCGCCGAGGCATATCCCCACGTGCTTTGTCTGGCCTACGCGGACGATGTCACATTCCTGGGGAATGCTGCGGACACTGTAGCTGCATTCAATCATTTCACCGAGAGTCTGGCGCACCTGGGGCTAACACACAACGCACAGAAATGTGCAGCCTGGAGCAGGGAAGCAGCAGTGAAGGACCAGCTTCCGCAGGGAGTGCCCTTTTCCCATAACGGCGTGCGCTTGCTTGGCAGCTTCGTGGGACCAGACAGCGGGGCGTCGCAGTTCCTGTCGGGTCAGCTACGGGAAATGGCAAAACCTTTGCCACTCCTTGAGAAAGCCGACCCCCAGGTAGCATCACTATTGCTCACCCGCTGTATCTCGAGGCGGGTGGCATACCTCACCAGAACGACGCCGCTCCACCTTCTGCCTCACGACACCTGGAGTCAATGGGGGATGGATCTACTTACAGCGCTACTGACAGCATGCAGCATCCGTGTTCCCACCTGCCGCACTGAACAAGCACGTGTCTGGGCGCAGGCGTCACTGCCGTCGTCATTGGGGGGGATAGGCATTACTGACCCCCTAATCGAGGGAGTGTACGGTTACGCGGCGAGCTTCACACAGGCCGCGCTCTTTCTAGCATCACTAGAAGACGCCCCTGATGGCGCGCTAACGCAGGCCTGGGACCACATGCTGCTGCCTGCAGACGTCGCCACGCCTCTCCACGCGTGGCTTTCGGAGTGCGAAGCGGCTTTACCAGTTGACGCTCGGGAGATCTTGGAGAAAGAGCGGCTGGAGCGATCAGACACCAGACTCCAGCACGCATTGGCACTGAGGGTACATGGGAGCAGATATGCCGTGCAGGTCAATGAGACACGACGGATGGCGCTGAACCCCCTGTGCGGACACACTCAGCGGATGTACTCACTGACAGGTTACGGGACCGGGGATTGGCTAATGGCTATCCCCATTGCGGCAAACAGGAGGATAGGGCCCACCCACTTCTCTAACGCCGTGCGCTTCCGGCTGGCCCTCCCTTTCTCCACACCGAAAAACTGCGACTGCGCAGACCATATTGCCATCACGGACCCCCGCCTCCCTAACCACCTACTCCGCTGCGGCACGGGCAAGCACCGCATCAACACCCATAACGAGCTGCGCGATGCCTGCATTAGCATGGCCCAAGACGCGGGGTTCATTGTCCACAGCGAGTCATCGGCGCACTGCCCCATTGAGGAACAGACCGCTGATTTTACAATGACGGACAGAAGCAGCGGTGCGGTCTACGTGTGCGACGTCACTATTACCGATCCTATTAGCACTAGGGACCCAGAGGCGCAGAAGGGCAGGGGCTGGGCGGCACGGGAGCAGGCGGACAAGAAGATCCAGCACTACGCCGCCCTGCCAGAGACAGTGAATTTCTTCCCTCTGGCGGTAGACACCTACGGCTGCCCTTGTGCGGAGGTGCCAGTCTTCCTGAAACTCTTGGCGGACACTGCAGCTCGGCGCCACTTCAACGCCGATTCCAAATCATTCTATGCTGCAAAGTTCCTGCACCAGTTCAGGCAACGTTGGTCAGTGGCCCTCCAAAGGGCCCAATCTGTGGGCCTCTTGCTCAAACTTGGGGAGGCTGCGGCGGTAGAGAATCCGCCTGTGGGGGGGATTGGAGACGAGTTGCACCTTGGGGACTGCTTTGCAGTCATTGAGCCCCTAGTGGATTTGTAGATTTGTGGTGCTTGTGCCTTGCATGTTAGCTATTTATGCCTCGATGACCTGCATGCTTGTACTTGGCTGCTATATCAATACAAGGACCATTAGAGAGAGAGAGAGAGAGAGAGAGAGAGAGAGAGAGAGAGAGAGAGAGAGAGAGAGAGAGAGAGAGAGAGAGAGAGAGAGAGAGAGAGAGAGAGAGGGAGGGAGGGAGGGAGGGAGGGATAGAACCAATGGGATAGGTACGGGTCGTAAGGCGATAGATTTCGAGCATCAGTTGCGAAACATACAAGACGCTTACGTATGCTTTAGTGGGGCTTTGGGAATAGCCCAAAGAGTGACAATCTTGTCGACATGAGAGGTTGCAACTGTACACGCATGACAATCTTGTAGATATGAGAGGTTGCGACTGTGCCCGCATGACAATCTTGTCAACATGAGAGGTTGCGACGGTGCCCGCATGACAATCTTGTCAACATGAGAGGTTGCGACTGTGCCCGCATGACAATCTTGTCGACGTTCGTGCAGGAATAAAATTGGAATGGCAGTGACGTGCTGGAATGCAAGCAAGGGCAGCTAGGGAAGGGAGGGAAGGGAAGTGAGGGGAAATATGGAATGGTGGTTGACTGCACGGCACGAAGGGAAAGGCTGGTAGAGAAGGGCAGGCAACTAAAGGGCAGGGATATGACGGTATGGAAGAGACGAGCATGAACACGAGGGCAGTAAGGGAAGGGCAAGAATGGGAGGGATGGGTGGAAAGGACAGTAACGGAGGAAAGGGAGAGACAGCGAGAGAGGGTTTGCACTAGGTTAGACTCTCATCGTGAGGGAAGGAAGCTGGAAAGAGACAGGGTGGCATGGAGAGGGCTGGAAAGAGACAGGGTGGCATGGAGAGGGAAGGGAGAGACAGGGTGGCACAACATGGGGATGCGATGGGAGGGGCTGGAAAGGGATGGAAGGGGCTGGAATAAAATGGGAGGGCTGGAAAGAAATGGGGAAATGGGGAGGCGGGAAGGGGAAATGGGGAGGCGGGAAGGGATAAAGGGGAGGCGGGAAGGGGAAATGGGGTGGCGGGAAAGGGTAAAGGGGAGGCGAGAAGGGGGAATGGGGAGGCGGGAAGGGGTAAAGGGGAGCGGGAAGGGGAAATTGGGGAGGCGGGAAGGGGAAATGGGGAGGCGGGAAGGGGTAATGGGGAGCGGGAAGGGGTAATGGGGAGCGGGAAGGGGAAATTGGGGAGGCGGGAATGGGAAACGGGAAGGCAGGAAGGGGTAATGGGGAGCGGGAAGGGAAAACGGGGAGGCGGAAACGCGAATTGGGGAGGCGAGAAGGGGAAACGGGGAGGCGGGAAGGGGTAATGGGGAGCGGGAAGGGGAAATGGGGAGGCGGGAAGGGGAAATGGGGAGGCGGGAAGGGGAGATCGAAAGGGAAGAGAGGGAGAAGGGAAGGGATTTGAAAAGTGGAGATGGGGCTGCTGAAAAGGAACTTGGGCAGTGGAAATGGGGTGGCGGGAAGGGGTAAAGGGGAGGCGAGAAGGGGGAATGGGGAGGCGGGAAGGGGAAATGGGGAGGCGGGAAGGGGAAATGGGGAGGCGGGAAGGGGAAATGGGGAGCGGGAAGGGGAAATGGGGAGGCGGGAAGGGGTAAAGGGGAGCGGGAAGGGGAAATTGGGGAGGCGGGAAGGGGAAACGGGGAGGCGGGAAGGGGTAATGGGGAGCGGGAAGGGGTAATGGGGAGCGGGAAGGGGAAATTGGGGAGGCGGGAATGGGAATCGGGGAGGCAGGAAGGGGTAATGGGGAGCGGGAAGGGAAAACGGGGAGGCTGAAACGCGAATTGGGGAGGCGAGAAGGGGAAACGGGGAGGCGGGAAGGGGTAATGGGGAGCGGGAAGGGGAAATGGGGAGGCGGGAAGGGGAAATGGGGAGGCGGGAAGGGGAGATCGAAAGGGAAGAGAGGGAGAAGGGAAGGGATTTGAAAAGTGGAGATGGGGCTGCTGAAAAGGAACTTGGCAGTGGAAATGGGGAGTGGGAAAGGGAGACGGCAAGGTGGGAAGCGGAGATGGGGAGGAGATAATGCGAGATGGGGAGGTGGGATTGTGAGATGGCGAGGCGGCAAAAAGGAAGGGGATATGCAGGCGCAAAGGGGAGTTTCGGCGCCGCCTATCGCTAGGCGACGTGACAACGCGAGGGAAAGGAGGCGCGGCTTCTCCGAAGGCGACGAAAGGCCGCGAAGGGAAGGGAGGCGCAGCCTCTCGTCGCCTACAACGCAAAGCAGCTTCGTCGCGGCCCATTGTATCGCTAGGGATCGCATTCCATGCGATGTGAGGCCAGTTCACTGTGAAGCCGTGATGATGGTGGTAGGGGAAGGGTCTTGTTTGAAAGCTAGCGCCGCAGCTAGCGCTGTTTCGAGGTCACATGCGTGTGATGCGGGACAGCGAGTGTGAGGGAGGAACGGGAGGTGGTGCAGACCGAACAGAACCTACTTGTAGTTTTGAATACGTTTGTGTCGGAAACGAGTTTTTTGCCCTGGCTGTTGAGTCACGAAGTGTTTATCTACCGCTTATGCCGCATGTCGTGCGCAGTGGTTGCCTTTCCAGATACGCGAGAATCCGTGTACTTTTGTTTTTCCAAAAGTATTGAATCACCAGCGAGTCTCGCTGGTGCGGGGTGTTGTGGGGGATCAACTCTGTTATGAGTTGTGCAAGAGAGTGCACAGGTAAACGAATAACGAGACTGTGATTGAATGATCTGAGAATACAATGAAGAAACGCACTAATGTAGGAGCTAGCCTAGCTAGGAGGAAACCTCAGACGAGCGAGGTTGGGGTGCAGGTTTGGCGATGGAAATGCCGAAGGCGACGCGAGGAGCCTCGGCAGCGTTGAAATCGGCCGAACGTGCAAAGTCCGAAAATCGGGCTGTACGCGTAGCAGTCAACCCCGATAAGGAATTCGGGAAAATTCCTTACACTACCCCCCCTCTTAAGAAAGGCGGTCAATATCCGAAACACGCTTGCGCGCCAAGTAATCACCAACAAGTGACGAGGCGGTCAGCGAGTCAGAGTGCACCCACGTGTCGTCCTCACTGGTGCGATCGATCCAACGGACCAGGAAATCCACGTGGCGACCAGCTGCGTCAAGTCGAACCCGATGTGCCAGAATCTTCGAAGGGTCAAGATTCGGCTCCGGGACAGGTCGTGCGGTTGGTGCAGCTTGTTGCCGCGCGATGTCAGTCGTGGCGGGCACGAATTTGCGAAGCAGGCTGACGTGGAAGGCGTCATGAATTCGCCAGTCGTCTGGTAGTAGCAGCTTCGCGGTGACAGGTGTCACCATCTTGATAATCTTGAAGGGCCCACAAAAGCGTGGCCGTAATTTCGACGGGCCGGGCAGGTGCAGGTTCTTCGTGTCGAGTGGCACTAGTTGCCCAGTAGTCAAGACGAGTTCCCGACGTAGAAGGTCGGTGTATTTGCGGGAAGTGATATTCGCCTTTCGAATTGCGTCGGCGGCTTTTTCTCGGACTTCCTGAAGTTCCGCCACAAAAGTTTGTGATCTCGGGACCGGGTTGTCGAGGGAAGTCGCTGTGGGAACCGTCGGATCCATCCCGTAATTCAGGAAAAACGGGGAGTGATTAGTCATGCTGGACGGTGCGTTGTTAGAAGCGAACTCCAACATGGCAAGGGATTCTTCCCAGCGGGCAGGGTCGGGGCAATTTGTCCTGATCAGCTGCTCCATGGTTTGATTGGTCCGCTCGGTCTTGCCGTCCGTCTGTGGGTGATGTGCCGAGGAGAACTGTAGCTTCGTGCCGTACTGCGCCCATGTCTCCTTCCAGAATTTTGATGTGAACTTCGGGTCTCGGTCGCTGATGATCGCCGAAGGAATGCCGTGCAGTCGCACGACCGTTGAGATGAAGAGGCGCGCAATTTCTTCGGCTGTGATTGTCGTTCGGCATGGGGCAAAATGCGCCATTTTCGTAAAGCGATCGACGACGACGAGCACCGCGTCGTTGCCGGACGGCCCAGCTGGCATCCCCGTGACAAAATCCATTGTCACCTGCTGCCATGGTCGTTCGGGTGGCTCGAGGGGTTGCAGCAGCCCAGCGGGTCGTTGACGTGTCGATTTCATAGCTTGGCACACCCTGCATGAGGACACATATCGCTGCACATCGTTAGAGGAGTCAGGCCAGTAATATTGACGGTGCAGTAATTTCTGGGTTTTATCAACCCCGAAGTGTCCGGAGAAATTCGAATCGTGGACCTCTTGGATAAGGAGTTCACGCAGCAGCCTGTAAGCGGGAACCCAAATCCGGTCGGTTCCGGCCTTTAGGTAATAGTCCCCTTTCTGCGTCGTGGCCTGCTGATGATTCCCAGTCGTGAAAAACGGGTCCGTAGTGTAGCCGTGGGTGAATAGTCTTGTAAATAGCGGGTTCGAATGGGTGATGAGTATTGCAGCGGATTGTACTGTTGGTCGGGTCAGGGCGTCGGCGATGTTATTCGCCCCTTTCTTGTACGTGATGCGGTAGGTGAAATGGCTCTCCATATAATCCAGCCACCGTATTTGTCGTGGGTTGAGGTTGGGCTGGGCTCGCAGGTACTGTAGGGATTTGTGGTCCGTGCGAACAGTGACGTCGGCGCCCACCAAGTAGCAGCGCCATAGTTTGAACGCGTGTATTATGGCGAGCATCTCCTTGTCGTGGATCGGGTAGTTGCGTTCGGCTACCTGCAGCTTGCGTGATTCGTAGGCTATCGGCTGCAACCCGTCCCCGAAATCTTGGAGTAGCACAGCTCCGATGGCGAAATCTGAGGCGTCGGTGACGACTTCGAACGGCTTCGATGGGTCGGCGATGCGCAGCACAGGAGGGGAAACGAGAAAATTCTTGAGTTCCTGGAAAGCCGCTTCTGCCTCCTCCCCCCACACAAAATTCCTGTCCTTGTTTAGCAGGTCGGTCAGCGGGCCGGTTATCCCCGCCATATTCGGGATAAACCGCCTGACGTAATTCACAAAGCCCTGAAAACTCTGGAGTTCCGTGACGTTAGTCGGGGACTTCCACTCCTGTATGGTCTTAATTTTCGCCGGGTCGATTTTAATGCCGTCGCGCGAGATGACGTGCCCCAAAAACTCCAACTCCTGCTTAAAAAACTCGCACTTAGAGCCCTTGGTGATGAGTCGGTTCTCCTGTAGCCGCTTAAACACTGCATCCAGGTCGCGGAGGTGCTGCTCCCGTGTCTTGCTAAAAATCAGGATATCGTCCAAGTAGACGATAACACATCGGTCTAGAAGATTCCGAAAAACCCTGTTCATGGTGAGTTGAAATGTCGAAGGCGCGTTCGTGAGGCCGAAAGGCATCACTGTAAATTCGTAACTCCCGTAGCGTGTGCGAAACGCAGTCTTGTGACAGTCGTCGGCGAAGACTCGAATCTGGTGGTAACCGCCACGTAAGTCAATCTTCGAGAAATAACGAGCGCCGCGAAGTTGGTCGAGGAGGTCGTCGGTGCGTGGGATTGGATAGCAAGACTTGATGGTGACCCGGTTCAGCGCGCGATAGTCGATGCACATGCGAAGCCCGCCGTCCTTCTTCGGAGTGAACAGGATTGGTGCTGCGAAGGGAGATGTGCTGGCCCGAATGAACCCTTTCTCCAACAGTGCGTCAATTTGACTTCGCAGCTCCTCGAGTTCCGGCTGGGTCAACCGCCACTGTGTCCGAACAGTCGGCTGCGCGCCAGGTTCCAGCTGGATTTTGTGGTCCTCAGGTCTCTCGGGTGGCAGTCCAGGTGGCAGGTCGTCGGGGAAAATGTCCGGGTACCTCCGAATCAGCTCCGCCAAATCCGGTGGTACAGCTGCACACAGCTTCTCGATGTCCTTTCCGTCGGTGTCAACCGCCAACTCGCGTAGGCAAACAGCGAACAGTTGCGCGCCCCTGTTGAAGTGGCGAGCTATATTGATAGCTTTGACGCACGGGGCTTCGATGTAGTCAGGTGTCCATGCAGGCAGTTAAATTAGCCCCTCGTGCTTGTTGATGCTGCACGATCCCGTTGTCCAGTTGATGACGGGGTTGTGCCGTCGCGGCCAATCACGTCCCAGCAGCACGTCGCAGCCGTCCAATGTTGTCGCGAGAAACTTCATGCTGAAGCCAAAACCGTCGCCGCGGTCGATCCTGACCGTCCGTGTTTCTTTCGTTATCGCCAGAGGCGTCCCATCCACGAGGCGGGCGTCAATTTTGGGCAGACACCTGCCAAGTTGCAGCTTGCATTTTTTTTGCGCTCGCCAAGTTGAAGAGGCTATGGCTGGCCCCCCCATCGACGAACATTTTTAAGTTATTTTTTAACACCTTGCCAGCGACCAGCACAGGGTGATCCACATGTGTATCCCCGTTATTCGGCCGAGTGCGATCGATTGCATGAATCGGAACCACGACTCGGTGGGGATGGTGGGGTTCGGGCGACGGAGCACAGTCAATAAAGGGCCCGCTAATTACTGACTCTTCCCATTTCCCTGCTCCTTCCTGTTGTTCCCCGTCAGCGGCGTTTTCTCGTGGCAGTCTTTCATGTAGTGACCCGTCTTCCCACACCGGTAACACGGTCCCTTAGGAGGGCGGTCGGGTGTATGGACGGCGTTGATAGTGGCCCGATGGGTCTGGCCACGAAAACGATTTCCATCCCTGGAAGCTGTTCTCGCGTACTGCATCAGTGCGTCCGTAGATTCCGCCAACCGTACTGCTTCAAGAAATGATGTCGGGCGGCCCCTACGAACCTCGTATTGAATCTCGTACTTGAGGCCGCTGATGTACTTATCTAACCGCTCTGCTTCCGACATGTCGTCAACTTGGTCGGCGAGTCCCATGAACGACGCTGTATAGTCTTGGACAGATGCCATCTGCGACCAGGCACGCAGCTTCATGCGAGCTTGCTCCGAGGCGGATATGTGCTCGAAACGGTTTCGCAAGGCTGCGCCCCACTCCTTCCACGTGCGTATCGTGGTCACACCAAAGATCGGTTCTGCCACTTGATTAACCACTGTATAGGTCACGTCTGCCGCATGTGTCACACCTGTCGGCGTCCCTGTTTCCAAGGTTCGGCGCCACCACTCAAGCGCTGCACCTCGAAGAAGCGAGACCGCGTAATTAATACGCGTGGCGTCGTCATTAACTCCGGCTGCAGTGAAAAAGACCTCGACCCCGAACAGCCACCCTTTTACCGTAACCGTCTTGTCCGTAGGATTAAACAGGGGCGGGTTGACAGGCTTGATCTTGATCGTCGTTACTGCAACTGGCGCTGCTGCCGCTCGCTGCCTATCTTCTTCTTCGAAATCACGTGTGAGCGCATCCAGTGGATTGCTCATCGCCTGACTGTTGCCCTCGCCTTCGTCCACAGGCGACTCCTGACGCGCTTCACCTCGCGTCTGGCGTAGCTCGGCGTTTTCCTCCCGCAGTGTTGTCACTTCCGCCATTAATGTCTTCATGCTCTCCTGCATTTCTGCCACTTGTGCCGTCATCCTGTTAACCGCCTCCTGATCCATGTGCCTAGCGCTACGTCTGGTGGGCAGTCGGGTCTCCGTGGCCTTCAGGCAAGTGAAAACACGAACTATCAGAGTCGGGCAGGATTGAATTAACAATCCCTGCGGCCAACCGTCGTGTAGTCACTAAACCAGCCACACCCTATGCCACCAAACTACTCTCGGAAAAGCGGGGTGAACTAGGAAAGTAGCTATGATACCAGGTGTTATGAGTTGTGCAAGAGAGTGCACTGGTAAACGAATAACGAGACTGTGATTGAATGATCTGAGAATACAATGAAGGAACGCACTAATGTAGGAGCTAGCCTAGCTAGGAGGAAACCTCGGACGAGCGAGGTTGGGGTGCAGGTTTGGCGATGGAAATGCCGAAGGCGACGCGAGGAGCCTCGGCAGCGTTGAAATCGGCCGAACGTGCAAAGTCCGAAAATCGGGCTGTACGCGTAGCAGTCAACCCCGATAAGGAATTCGGGAAAATTCCTTACAAACTCCCTTGTGGGACGATGGGAGCAAGCTGTAATAGGGTAACCAATTTTCAAATTTCAAAACTTTTGAACCCACCCTTAGCAAATGTATACAAAAGCTTTAAATTGCAACAAGTGTGCAACGGCGATTCAAAATTTGCTTGCTTCCTTGGCTGGGCGAGGTTTTCCATTCGCAGTTGCTGCCCATGAGTTCGTAGAATACGAAATCAGAAGGCTTATACTCGAGTGCGGATATGATACAAATCGATAAGTAATGTAGAGCACATATTGTGAAACTTCATGTGCCAGAAACTAGTTCTTTTCTTCTAAATATTACAAGGCAGCCAACTGGCCTCCAGCGGTAAGGCTTTTTCATAACTACATGAAGACCACAAGGTATTATTGTTTTCGAGACGGACAATACTCGTCACGAACAGTGCATTTCATACATCTAAATTAATAAGTTTTGAAGTGATAAGTTGATCGATTTCTGATGCGAGCCTGCGGAACAGAAAGGAGGAGGAAGGTTGGAAGTACAGTAGATAGGAAATTTGGGGAAGATTTTCCATCGCACTGGAATTTTATTTAGACATGTACTTTCTTATGGGCTGCAGAAAAAAAAACCTTAGCTGCAAAAAAAAAAAAAAAAAAATGGTTGGAAAAACAATCATACACTGAGTAACACCCATAGTGTCACCACTCGTGATAATCACCACCTGCTATGAACACTAACCAATGCAGTCACCAATTGTTATGAACACTCCCTGTCAGGCCACAATCCCACCTCCTCCTCGCAGACGAGTAGCATCCATGTAGTCACAACTCGTTATAAACACTCACTGTTGAGCAGACAGTCCCATGACATTAGAGCAGGACCGAAATGTACACCACTCCATACGTTTATTACCTGCAAAATCACTATCTGTTGAGCCCATTACATCAAAGCAGGACTGAAATGAACACCACTACCCACGTTTATTACCTGCAATATCACTATCTGTCGAGCCCATTACATTAAAGCAGGAGTGAAATGAACACCACTCAGTATGTTTATTACCTGCAACATCACTACCGTACCTGTTGAGCCGACAGTCCCATTACATTAAAGAGGACCGAAATGTACACCACTCGAAATACGGATTACTTGCAGGATTGCTACCTGTTGAATGACCAGTCCCATGACTACCAGTGATCCCAATACAATCACCACTCGATACACTCATTCCATGCTCCATTACCCATGGAGCGGCACTAATCTTGAAAAACAACATGTACAACACCTCGATAGAATCACTACATGGTATACTCTCTACCTATAAAGCGGCACTCCCATAGCAATAAGTAACGTTCATTGAACAACCCGATATAATCACTTACTGATAGAATCCCGACCTGTGGAGCACCCGTCATACGACGTTGAAGTAGCACTCGCTGATCACCAGCAGACCCCAGCACCCCCCAGCACCCCAGCACCCCCAGCACCCCAGCACCCCCCAGCACCCCCCAGCACCCCAGCACTCCCCAGCACCCCCCAGCACCCCCCAGCACCCCCCAGCACCCCCCAGCCGCCTTCAAATTTCCTTACGCCCCTGCCTTCTGCAGTGGCTCTCTCTATGTTTCACTCACAACTCGTTATAATCACTACCTGTTAAGAGGGAGTCCCATGACGTTGAAGTAGCACCCGTTGATCGCCTTCACCAGACACCCCCCCAGCCCCTGAATGCCGTACCCCCCCGCCTTGTCCATGGGCTCGCCTGTTGCCACATAAGCCTCGACCTCCGCTTGCGACAATGATGCAAACTCAACCTGTGGGTGATGGAGAGGGAGCGTGACAGCAGGGAAGATTTATAAGATTAAAAAAAAAAAAAAAAAAAAAGGGGGGGGGGGGGGGGGGGAAGTTCAATCTTGTCCATGGGCTCGCCTGTCCCCACATACACCTCGATCTCTGCTGACTTTTGAGTCGACTCAAGAGTCAACTTTCGAGTCAACTCAAAAGTCAATCCCCGCTTTGTCTATGGGCTCGCCTGTCCCCACATACACCTCGATCTCTGCTCGGGACAATGATGAAAACTCCACCTGTAAGAGGAAGAGAGAGGGAGTGTGAGGGGCTAGTAGGGTGAAAGGGTGGGGATAACTGGGGAGCATGGAAACCCCGGCCTTGTTCATGGCTCGCCTGTTCCCCCGTACGTCTCTATTCTTGCTTGGGACAGCGCTGCAAACGTTTGAGAATTCTCAAAAGTCCCACGTGCGTCTCTATCTCTGCTTGGGACAGTGCTGCACCTGTTGGGGAAAGATTGGGAGTTTGAAGGGTTAGGTGGGCGAAAGGGGAGAGCTTGGGAGCATGGTACCCCCATGCCTTGTGAGGCGCCTCAAAAGGGGAGAGCTGGGGAACATGGTACACCCATGCCTTGTCCATGGGCTCTCCCTTTCTTACATACGCATCGATCCCCGCTCGAGACAGCGCTGCAAACTCAACCTGTTGGGGAAAGAGAGGGAGTGTGAGGGGGTGGTGGGGAGTATGAGGGTGCTGGGGAGCATGGCACCCGCTGTCTTGCCCACGGACTCGCCTGTTCCCACATATGCCTCAATCTCCTCCCGTGACGATGATGCAAGCTCCACCTGCCAAGAGATGGAAGCAGTGTAAGAGAGTGGGGAGTGTGATGGGTAGGTAGGGTTGGGGAGCATTGGAACTCAATCTCCCCTGTATGTTCATGGAATGGCCTGTTACCACATACGCCTCAATCTCCGCTAGGGACAATGATGTGAATCTTGGAGTGCACTTGTGAGAGGAACGGCCTGTGCCATGCCAAAAGCCACGAAGAACAGAGAGCGTATAGATGGTTTATTTCATGCCAAACGCACCTGGGTGCGCTTGCAATGGGTTATGATGATGTACTAACGCACCGAGGTGACTTTCGAGTCAACTAATATGTCGTGAAAAATGGGTATAGGAATAGCGCATGCCAGAGTGCAACGCACTGAGGGGACTTAAAAAAGTCACGAATGGGGAATAGGACAGGGTTCAACAGAGCACATGCCTGAATGCTAACACACCTGAGTGCACTCGTGAAAAGAGCGGAGAAGAGGCGATCGGCCAATCAGAGGGTCTGTTAAAATTTAAGATGGGGCAGGGGAGGTATGTGGGGGAGGGAAATTGGAGAGAGCGAGGAGAGGGTAGCTAGAGGGGGGTAAGTTGCAGCAGAGAGAGCATAGGCAGAGAGTGCGAAAATGAGGTTTTGCAGGGAGAGTAAGGATGGGACACAATGGAGGCCTTCATTCGACTAGAAATGGCGAGTGGAAGGTGTACCTGTAGTCGGGGTGACGGGTAAGTACAACATTCCCAACTGCTCATTCTACTCGGCAAGGTATGGGGTTCGAATGTCAGGTGGTGGGGATCGGCTCGAATTGGAAAATCTTGAGGGGTACAACTTGGTTGGGAGGGTGTCGGAGGTGGGCCATGTACTCTTGGGGCGTGAACTTACGACAGCCCATGCGTCCATTTCACCGCACCCAGTTTGAGGCGGCAGCCAAGTTGGGCAAGAGACCTGCCTATCTGGAATGGTTGGAGGTGGTGAACGCTCTGTCAACCGTAACAGAGGAGAACATGCTGCATGAGGACAAAACTGTTGCCATGCTCTCCTCTGTCACGGTTGACAGAGCGTTCACTACCTCCAACCACTCCAGATAGGCAGGTCTTGCCCAATTTGGCCGCCGCTTCAAACTGGGTGCGGTGAGATGGACGCATGGGCTGTCAGAAGTTCACGCCCCCAAGAATACATGGCCCACCTCTGACACCCTCCCAACCAAGTTGTACTCCTCATGATTTTCCAATTCGAGCATATCCCCATCACCTAACATTCGATCTCATACCTTGCCGGGTGGAACGAACATTTGGGAATGTTGTACTTACCCGTCACCCGGCTACAAGTACACCTTCTACTCGCCCTTTCGGGTCGAAAGAAGGCCATTGTGTCCCATCCCCGCAGTGAGTAAGGGTGCTGTGACAGACAAGCTTTGCAGCAGGAGTAAAAAGCGTGCATCGGGTAACTCAGCGCTTTCCTCAATATTGAGAACATAATTTGATATTAAAGAACAACGTATTAATTATTTATAACATCAATCACAATAATCGGTTGTGCCGTGATTCACATAACTGCACTAGAAGAAGGTAGGACGCACTAGTGACAGCTGGCAGGACGTACCGGTGACAGCTGGCAGCACAAGAGCCACTCCCGTGAAAACCCGATGCTTGCGGCCTGTGGGGGATGATGGGGGTGGTGTGTGGAGAATGGTTGAGTGATGGGGGAATGATGAGGGGATGATGGGGGGGTGATGAGTTATTAACAGGGTAATAGGGGTGCTGGGGAAACAACAGGGCCCATGGGGGTGCTGTGTTGGGGGACTGAAAGAACACGAAGGGCGGTACCTGATAGGAGCAAAAGCATGCGGATTGCATCCTCCTTAGAAACCGGCTTCTCTAAAAGCTCACCCTGAAAAGGAGAACATAAATGGATTGGAAAGCAGCTTGTGAGGTGATTAGTTGATGGAAAGATGGGAAACTTGCATGGTTGAAGGACTATGTCACAAGGTGAAATTGACATACATGCTACAAGACTGTGCTTTGATAAGATGACTCGGGTAAAGGTATTGTTCCTTATTGAGAAGTCATGTCGGGTGAATATACGAATGGGCACACTCAGGTGGAAAGTACTGATTTACCCACTCTTCGTACATTCAGCCACGCACCATTCGTACATTCGTACACTCACCCACATATCCATCCCCAGCACAGATACTTAGCTTCTTGCCTTTTTCTACATCCACATCTACTGGGAGTGGTGCGTGGCACCCACCCACCCACCCACCCACTCACATCTATCTCCCCCACAGTGTCGGCAGCAATCACAAGCGTTGGTGGCGCCTCTTCCACTGGCGCACTCACATTTCTCCCATCCCACTTACACCTCTCCTCACCCACTCACACCTCTCCACACCCACTCACACCCCTCCGCTATCACTCACATCAATCTCCACCACAGTGTCGGCAGCAATCACGAGCGTTGGTGGGGCTTCCCCAGTCGCCTGAACGCAACATGCGCAGAGAGAATGGGAGCAAATGCGTGGGGAGATGCGAGCGAGTGGGGAGGCGCGAGCGAGTGGGGAGGCGCAAGCGAGTGAGGACGTGCAAGGAGAATAATTGTGAGTGAGTTGGAGCATTGATTGTGTGCAACAGTGATGAGTATAGGATGGTGAGGTGCTTTTCCGGTGCCTAAAAAATTACCTGCATGGGAGTGGGTTGGAGCATCGATTTTACGCATCTATTGATACGGGATTGACTCTGGGATGGTGATGAGTATGGAATGGTGGGGTGAGGATGCACCTGGGAAGCATGCACCTGAGCATCACACACCTGAGCATCACACACCTGAGCATCACACACCTGAGCATCACACACCTGAGCATCACACACCTGAGCATCACACACCTGAGCATCACACACCTGAGCATCACACACCTGAGCAGCACGCACCTGAGCATCACACACCTGAGCATCACACACCTGAGCAGCACGCACCTGAGCAGCACGCACCTGAGCAGCACGCACCTGAGCAGCACGAAGGGCTTTGGAAGAAACTTCTATGGCCTTGTGCGTGGCCGTCTCTGCTGCGTAGTCTGCCAGTGGGGGGGAGATGGAAGGAGGGGAGGGGGATGAGGAAAGAGACGTAAATGAAAGGCTTGCGATGGAATGTCTGAAGGGGGATGAGAAGGTGCCTTCTATGGCCTTGTGCGAGGCAATCTCTGCTGCGTAGTCTGCCAGTGCCATAGTAACGAGGTGACTTTTGAGTCGACTCAAAAGTCACCTATGGCCTTGTGCGAGGCAATCTCTGCTGCATAGTCTGCCAGTGGAACTTGAGGCGGGGAGACGGATGAGAGGAAATAACTTTTGGGAATACTCGGAGATATGGGGAGGGAGATGAAGAAGGGCCTATCTATGGCTTTGTGGGTAGCTGACTCTGCTGCAAGTGGGGAGATGGAAGGCGGGAAGGTGGATGAGGGGGATGTGTTGCAGCAAACAAACAAGTAGGGCCTTTGAGTTGACCCAAAAGAAGGGGAAGGGCATGCAGGCGAAGGGATAAGGAGACGCTAAGCAGTTTGACAGTAAGATCGGGAAGCCACAAGCAAGGGGGGAGCAGCACTGCTGCTCTGGCATTGGCAATGAAGGGGGGTTGGGAGGGTAAAGACCGAGGTGGTGCTGTGGCACACCTCCTGCGCTGGCGAATGCTGCTTTATTGAGGTCCTCGTTAAACGTGCTCGGAATAACGTCAACAGTTAGCCCCTGGGAGCAACGAGAGCGGAAGAGGCGGGGAAAGGGGGAGAGAAAGCGGCGGGAAAGGTTGAAAAAAAGAGGCGGGGTAAGGGGGGGAAGTCCCTATCGCCCCGCCGTAGCCTAGGCCCACCTACCAGGCCTGACAGCAATTCGCGTCGCCTAGGGGATGCCGACGCGAGAACGATCCGGCGCTTCGACAGTGCTGCCACGTGTTGGATGAACATTGGACCACGCTTGTTCCCTGTTTGCGCGTCTTTTTTCGCTTTTGGAAAATCTTATGGTAAAGCGGCGTGGTTCTTGTTAGTAACCGTCAGCTTCAACTATTTAGCGACCGCGTCGCTCTCTTGACACACGATTCACACGAGAGCTGACTCTAGAGACGCCTCTACAGAGAAGCAAACGAAATCACGCGCCGTGCGGAGCGAAGACAGGTCTCACAGATTTGTTGATATACCTCGTGTGACGCGAATTCACATGCTTATCGTACCCGATTTTGAGACACCTGTTTTCGAAACGTAATGAACATTGTATTGCTACAAAACAACTACGAATGCTTTCAATGAAAAGAGCCAAGAAACTTCAACCACTCCCGAGAATTAGCATACATGTTTAACAAATCAGCAACTTTTCCTGCCACTATGTACTCTTGCCTGCTCTTCTTTTCCCTTTACCTGCTTTTCTCCCTTCTCCATTTCCCCTCTTAACTCCTTCCATGCCTTTTTCTCCCTCCTTGCCAGCACCCATTTCAGCACTTCTCTTCCCAGTCAATGTTGCTCGCAGTGCTGCAGACCCTTCTCCCTGCCCCAACCCCTTCACTGAATCCTTCACCTTCCTCCCTTTTTTACGCTTGTCGCCAGCACCACCAACACCACTCCCATCAGCAGCAGCACCTTCACACGATCGTGGAGCAGTGCCACTCGCGCTTGCGTTACCACCATTCACCTTTGCAGCTCCACCCTTCTTGACCTTTCCTGACCTAGCTGCTTCCCCAGGGATCCCGGGCACCCTAGGCGCCCCAGCCACACCACCACCACGACCAGCAGGAGCAGCAGCAGCAGCATTAGCAGCAGCAGCAGCAGGTGAGTCACCACCAGCAGCACCTGCAGCACTCAGTTTCTTCTTCTTCTGCTGCTGCAGCTGCTTCCGGCGCTGCTGCCTCTGCCTTCCACCATCCCCCTTCTGCTTTTTGCTCCCCCCTGCACCAGCACCAGCAGCAGCAGGTGTAGCAGCAGCAGATTCTGCCGCCGCCGCCGCAGCTGCAGCAGCAGCAGCATCGGCAGCAGCGGCGGCGGCGGCAGCTTTGGTGCGTTCGAAACGTTCAGCGTGGGTCTCCCCGATGGCCTCCACCTCCCCATCGCTGTTCACCACCACCTGTAGCTCGCCCCTCTCATGCCTCCCCACAGCTGCCACGTGTTTCTGATAGGGGGGAGGGCAGGCACGGGGTGACTTTTGAGTTGACTCAACAGCCATCGCTCAGCGTGGGTCTCCCCAATGGCCCCCACCTCCCCATCGCTGTTCACCACCACGATGCTGTAGGGTTTTTTTGAGAATTCTCAAAAAAACCCTACTTCACCACCACCTGCAGTTCACCCCTCCCATGCCTCCCCACCGCTGCCACGTGTTTCTGCAGGGACGCTCAGGAGGAAGGAAGACGGGGAATGGGTGGTTTGGGGGAGAAGAATAGGTACGCTTGTACACAAATCAACCCCTGACACTCGGCACTGGCGTATTGCTGTTCATCACCATCTGAGGCTCGCCTCTCATATGCCGCCTAGCCATTGCCACGAGTTCTGTGTGTGGTGTGAGGGTGGAGAACGGGAGGAGGTGGGGTGTGGGCATGGGCCCATGTGAGAGAAGAGGGAGGAGGCAACACTGGGATGTAAGTAGCTTTGACACTCCCCACAGTCCCATCGCTGTTCCCCACCACCACCTGCAACTCTATTTTTGAGGTGCCTAAAAAATAGACTCCCCGCAAGGCCCATCGCTGTTCACCACCATGGGCAGCTCTCGCCTGCCCTGTCATCCCACTTCAGCGAAGCATGGAAGGAAGTTGGCTGGCATGGCGCAGGGCAGCCTTGGGGTTTCGGGTTTGGGTTTAGGGGGCACTTCCTCCTCCAAAGGCAGGTGCTATTTCAGGTTACCTTGGACGCCAGGTGTTTCTTCATGTTGTCACTGTTCACACAGAGCACTCGAGGGCACACTCTGCACCGCAGCACACCCCCTCCTCCCTGCCCCACCACTCTCACCACCATCTCTCCCCCCTCCCCAAAATCCATGTCTTTAAATGCCTCCCCCTCCCGCTGGCCTTTCCTCTTTCGCTTCCCTGCTTTGCCACCCTCCTCCTCCCCCCGCTCCTCTCCCTCCTCTCCCTCCTCTTCCTCATCTTCCTCCCCATCCTCTTCTCCCTCCTCCCCTCCGTCACTGCTGTCGTCACTTGTGCTGCTATCACTGTCACTGCTCCCACTCTTCCGCCCCTTCTTCCTCCTCTTCTTCCTCCGTTTCTCCTCCTCTCTCTCCCTCTCCTCCTCAGAAACAAGCTCCTCCCACTGAGAAGACACCCCAACTGCTCCTCCCCCCTCCTCCTCCGACTCCTCTGAGTCACTCTCACTTTCACCTCTCTCACTCTCTCCCTCCTCGCTGTCCCCACCACCCCCCTGCACCTCCTGATCTTCCTCTGCACTCACAGGAGGGGACAGGCGAAGACAGAGGGAGGGAGGATGAGAGCGGTGAGAGAGGGGGTGAGAGGGGCGGAGGGTGAGAGGGGCGGAGGGTGAGAGGGGGTCGAGGGTGAGAGGAAGGACGTCGTCTGAGGTATTCCCTATAACAAGCGGATCACAATTTTGACAGCCGTGGTGAGAAGTGCCAAGGCAAGCAGAAAGGCAGGAAGGCAGAGAATCTGGGAAGCAAGAAAGCAGGGAACCAGATCCCTGACCACGAAATGTAGGCTCCAGGACCTGCGATATGCCATTTGAGTCGATTATAAACGCTATTATGAACAAAAACACCTTCGTCGGAGAGCCGTCTATTCCGGACATACGGCCAGCTCGGTTTCATGCCGCACGACGCTTGAGTTTAGCCTCAGTCACCCACCTGACGAGGCGACATTGTCGTCGTCGTCGCTCGACGAGCTCGAGTCGTCGCTGGAGGCGGCCGCGGGGCCGTCTTCTTGATGAAGCATGCGATAGTCGCGACGCTTTATCATTTCGACGCTGCCTCGAAGGTGCGAAGGAGAATTGAGTCGGTTGGAAGTATTACGAAGGGAATTCAAAGGAAGCTGCAGCCACAGCAGATAGGGCGAACAATCAGTGTCGGTTAATCACCAAATGCCGGGTATCGTCTGAAAGAGTCTCACGCGAGTCGATTGAGGACTAGGAATGGTGGGGAGAGTGGGGTAAAGGTAAAGGGTTTTGTGTAAAAATCTCAGGAGCTGCAACCTAAAGCCCGTATTGCGTGATCTTCGGGATTGCTCGGGGCAACTATTCTCTCTGTCCTTCCGCATTTTGTTGGTAGCCCCGTAATTCTCGAGGTTGCGAAAGAAATGTCAAGCTCCACTAATGTTATGGAAGTGGCTGGCTGGGTTCGCGAAAATCTGTAACAGATGCAAAAAAAAAATGTGTTTTTTCGCCACTGTCCTCCCGTCGTTTTCTGCTGATAGGAAAAATGTCAAGCAGTGACAAACGATGTTTCGCCAAGATCCAGCCGAAGAGCAGCTTCTGGTGGTCTGGACGTCAGGCAGCCAGCCAATCAGTCCGTCTTACGGCGGTTTCACCGCCGCCTTGTTGCGAAAGATTTTTTCGCAGCTATCATCGAGAATCATCTTCTCCGTAGTCCATTCCCGCCGAAAGCTCGAAACCAAAGCGGGTTTCCAGAGTGCACCTATCCTTCGTCCTTTCGGTACAGAAGGACTGCCTCTAACAGTAGGCGGCCGGTGGAAGTAGTATTCCGCTGGTTTCTTCTCCGTGGCTCTTAGACAGCTCGCAAGCAATTCCCCTGATTCCGTTTCGTCCTTCATTTCCCTCCGTCATCCAAGCAATGGCGGCGAGTGCGAGCCTGCCTGTATTGGACGTCAGTGTCGACCCTGGTAGTCCTCTGGAAGAGAAGGAGAAAGCCGTCAGGTAGGCTGTCAGGTGCTCTTACGCGGAGCCTCAGGTGATTATTCCAGGTGGAATGTCAGATTAATCGCCTTGTGTTCCCCGCTTAGGTCTTTAGAACGCAGTCATTGCAAACAGTCATAGCACACGGACTACCACACGCGTAGCAAAATGCACGCCGCCTTGACAGCCTGATCCTGCCTTGAGTAGGCCAATCAGCAGTTGCCTTGCCTGTGCACCGTTAGCCGGATCCCATCATATCTCCCTCCCTCTCCCTCTCTCCCCTGGCTCCATCCTCCCCAGGGACATTGCACGCAGGCTCATGCCAGCGTGGCAGCATTTGCCGGAGCAAGAGCTGCAGGTTTCCACCATCTCGGGCGGCATCACCAACCTGAGTGAGTCTAAGGACGTCCTTAATCGGCAGCATTGCATACTAGGAAATCCGCGATTCAAAAAGGCAACATCGATTTCCTCGCCCCTTTCCCCCTACCTCCCTCCGCCCCTCCCCATCCATATGGTCCTTTCATTCCTCTTAGTTAGGATCCTAACCCCCCTTTCTCTGGGATTCCTCCTTAAACGTGTACAGTAAATACTCTTTTTTTTTTCATTTGTTTGGGCCTGCTTTCCCTGTATCGGCAGTATTTAAAGTGCAGCAAGCGAATCTAAGCCAGAGTCAGGAGCAGCAGCAGGAGGAGGACGGAAAAGGGAACGACCAAAACGGGGAGCCGTCATCCGAAAAAAGGGGAGACAGCGGCCAATCAGAGGCGATCACTGTGCGCATCTACGGGCCAGATACGGACAAAATCATCAACCGGAGCAGAGAGTGGGAGGTGAGATGGGCATGGGCATGGGCATGGGCATGGGCATGGGCATGGGCATGAGCATGGGCGTGGACATGGGTACGGGCATGAGCATGCGCATGGGATGGACATGGGCATGGGCATGGGCATGGGATGGACATGTTTATGGCATGGGCACAGGAATGGGTATGGGCATGTGCAGGCCATCCCACACTATGCCACATCTTACCACACTACACCACACTGCACCAAACCACACCAACACCAAACCACACTGTACCATGCCACAACACTCCACACCACGACACACAACCCCCCTGCCCTGTCAGGCACTCAGAGCATTGTCAACAGCGAATTTCGGGCCTCGCCTAATTGGGAGCTTCACTAATGGAACCGTGCAGACGTACCTGCCTGGCCGCACGCTCACCCCACCCGGTATGCTCTTTACTTCTACTCTTAAGTAAGTCGCCCTGTCAGGCACTGAAGGCGTTGTCAAGAGCAAACTTTGGGCCTCGCCTGATAGGGAGCTTCAGCCATGGAACCATGCAGACGTACCTGCCTGGCCGCACCCTTACTCCACCCGGTATGCGCTTTGATTCTACACAAGTGTTTCCCTGTCAAGCACTCAGGGCGCTGTCAACAGCAAGCTTCAGGCCTCGCTTGATAGGGAGCTGAGAAAGGTCTTTTAGTCAGAAAGCCAGACACATAGGCCCGGATGTGCGTGCGAACGCGTTCGGCCAGCAAAGGCCTTCATCAGCGCACTAAAGATGTCAGCACTCAGGGCGCTGTCAACAGCAAGTTTCAGGCCTCGCCTGATAGGGAGCTTCACCAATGGAATTGTGCAGACATACCTGCCTGGCCTGGGCGCACACTCACCCCACCCGGTATGCTCTTTGATTCTACTCAGAAGTTGCCCTGTCAAGCACTCTCAAGGCGTTGTTGTCAACAGCAATCCTCTCTGACAGCCCGTTGTCTCTCACTCCCCAACCCCATGCAGAGATGTGTGCACCCCCCCACTGTCACACCTGATAGCAGCACAGCTGCACCGCCTGCACCATCTCGTTGTGTGTCAGTTGCACTATCCATGCGTGTACCCATATCTTAAAGCCCGCAGTCACTTCCGCCCCCCCCCCCCAATGCAGAGATGTGCACCCCGCCATTGTCACACCTGATAGCAGCACAGCTGCACCGCCTGCACCATCTGGACGTGCCTCTTGGGTCGGAGGAGGAGCGGAAGGAGGGGCACTTGTGGCATGCGCTGTTCGACATGCTCCACACTGGTGGGTAGTTGGTTCTGTGTGCCTAGCATCCTAGACAGCGATAGCAGCACAGCTGCACCGCCTGCACCATCTGGACGTGCCTCTTGGTTCGGAGGAGGAGCGGAAGCAGGGGCACCTGTGGCACGCCTTGTTTGACATGCTCCACACTGGTGGGTAGTTGGTGCTGCGTGCCTAGCATCCTAGACAGCGATAGCAGCACAGCTGCACCGCCTGCACCATCTGGACGTGCCTCTTGGGTCGGAGGAGGAGCGGAAGCAGGGGCACCTGTGGCACGCCTTGTTTGACATGCTCGATACTGGTGGGTGCTCTGGTGATGTTGGGTGTTTTGGTGTTGCACAGTGCGTTCTTGCATCGGAGACTGGTGGGTGCTCACCTGATAGCGGCATAGCTGCAAATTGCAACGCCTGCGTCACGGCAAGTTTCCGCTGCTCTGTATCAATCCATCATCATCATTATGATCACCCCCAACTAGTTTTGAGACGTCAAAAGAGCTGCAAATGTCAGTGCTTCACATGCCAGGCTCTCGTAACCAATGTCTTCATTGTAATCTTCAGTGCTTTACGGGAGCCTGGCATTGGTACCAAATGTCATTATTCTCATCTTCACACTTGGTAATTGTCATCCCTTCATCGTTACGTCATCGCCATTGTCATCTGGCATCCACTGATCGAGCATTGTACTCTTGCGGTTTTGTCTGTACTCGTTACTGGATGCTCTGGTTCCCCGTCAGAGCGCCTTCAGCCGAGGAGCTGCGTTACGACGACCAGAAGCTGCAGACCCGGTTTGAATCCATTGACTTTGCGAAGCTGCGAAGCGAGATACAAGAAGCAAAGGTGGGCAAAGCAGAGGTCCACATGAAAAGATGCATGTGGATGTGAAGCACTAGAGTAACACTCAAAGCTCCAGACCTGCTTTGACTCCATTGACTTTGCGAAGCTGCGAAGCGAGATAACAGAAGCAAAGGTGTGTGATAGCAAGGTCCAAAGGAGAGAATTCTTTCTGTTGGTAGCAGGCAGCTGCACTGCACTGCAGACTCGGGTTGACTCCTGTGACTTAGCGAAACTTTGGCCGGTGATCCTAGAAGCAAAGGTGTGCGAGCAAAGCAAGCTCAATCTGAAAGCGTGCTTGTTGAGGATAGCTGGCTGCTGCACCAGTGGGTGCACTCCATTTTCTTTGCGAGAAGCTCGGCTGGAGATGCTTCGAAAACCTTTTGGGATGCCACATACATTCATACATACATGCACGCAGCACTCGCCCATGCCACTCTTTCTCACACCCACCAGGAACTGACAGACCTTGTGTGCCGTGCCATTGCCTTTCCCCACAATGATCTTGCTATGCGTTGCGTTCATGCATGTCATTTCCGGCACCTAAAAAGCTTACTAGAACGCCTCAAACATCTTACATACATGCACGCATGCCGCTTTTGAGAAATCTCTAAACACAACCACCAGGAGCTAACAAATCTTCTCCGTTTGGCCATTTCCTTTCCCCACACCCACCATGCTATGCTTTCGTGCATGCCTCCGAAGCCTCTTGAGAAATGCCCCAAAAGTCATACATCGATACACGCGTACCTCTCACCCATGCCGTACGTCTCTCTCACACCACACCCACCAGGAGTTGACAGACCGTCTCCACTCGCCCATTGTCTTTGCCCACAACGATCTCCTTGCATACAACCTGCTGCTGGACGAATCACAACCAGGTACCATGCGGTAGCATGCGGTAACATGTGGTGACGTGTGATATTGTCATGGTAACACGGTGGTAATGATGTAAGCGTCAACGTGGTGGTGAGTGGTCACTTGCCAATGGTAACATCCATGTGGTGATGGTGCCAACATCCGATGCGATGTACCATGCTCCCATCTCCCTTCCACTCTCCTCCAATCCTCTGTGCATGCATGCAGGCACCCCCACCCCACCATGCACATGATTTACGTTAAGCATGCGGTGTATTACCCCCGGGGCTATGACATCCCCCTTGCGAATGCAATGCTCCTCTGATTCCCTGAGTGCATGCATGCAGGCACCCCCACCATGCACATGATTGATTTTGAATCATGCACCCCCGCGGCGTACAGCCCCTGGGGGTACAACATCCCCCTTGCATGCTCCTCTGTGTCCCTGCATGCAGGCACCAATCATGCTCATGACTGACCATAACTAATTACAATTGCTGTGGAGAGCTTTGAGTCTTCTATGCATCCTTTTTCTGCTTCCCTGCATGCAGGCACCCCTGTGATCCACATGATAGACTTTGAATACGCAGCGTACAACCCCCGGGGCTACGACATCCCCTTTGCGATTCACATGCCATGCTGCTCTGATCCCCTACGTGCATGCAGGCACCCCTGTGATGCACATGATTGACTTTGAGTACGCGGCGTACAACCCCCGGGGCTACGACATTGCAAACCACTTCTGTGAATATGCCGGCTTCGAGTGCGAGTACTCAAGGTGGGGACTTTATAGAATGTATATATGAATATATAGGATGTGAGTAATTCACGCGTTTCGTATGCTGTTTGGTTATTTTTCAAAGGCAGGGTCACGTTTAGCATGCAATCATGGTCAATTCAGTAACAGGTCAATTCAGTGTGCCATATGACCACCAACCGAAATCTCAACCCAGACAGGGTGCTTCCCCTTCCCCCTGCTTCATCCCCCACCAACCACACCTCTCTCCTTCCCCCACAATGCTCCCCCTTCCCCCGTCATCCCTCGAGATCTTTCACCTTTACCTTGGTCTCTCCGTCTTCCCTATTTTCCATATCAAGGCCTTGTTCCGTCACTACCTCTGTCGGAGGAGGTAGTGACGGATTATGTCCTCTCCATCTCCCCTAACTTTCCATTTCAAGCCCCATCACGAGGCCTTGTTCCGTCACTACCTCTTCCTCTCCATCTTCCCTAGATTTCGATTTCAAGCCCCATCACCAGGACTTTTTCCGTCACTGCCTCTGCCGCTTCTGAGTCGAATCGAACGCTTCTCCCCCTGCTACCACCAATCTCATTCCTTTACTCAGATTCCTCTCCTTTCCCCCATCGCTCGACCATCTCATCCCAGGTTTCCCTCCAAGGCCCACCATCTGGACTTCTTTCGACACTGCCTGCACCCCTAAGAGTCTACTCAAGTATCCCCCCCACTCCCCCTCCCTGCTCCATTCCCCCCCAGGTTCCCCTCCAAAGCCCACCAGCTGGACTTCTTTCGACACTGCCTGCACCCCTATGAGTCTACTCAAGTATCCCCCCCACTCCCCCTCCCTGCTCCATTCCCCCCCAGGTTCCCCTCCAAAACCCACCAGCTGGACTTCTTTCGACACTGCCTGCACCCCTATGAGTCTACTCAAGTATCCCCCCCACTCCCCCTCCCTACTCCATTCCCCCCCAGGTTCCCCTCCAAAGCCCACCAGCTGGACTTCTTCCGCCACTATCTGCACCCCACCGCTCCCGAGAAGGTGACGACAGGGGATCTGGTGGGAGTCATGGGGAGGTAGGCAGGTGGGTGCAAGGTGGGAAGAGAGGTGGGAGCAAAGGCCTAGCCCTATCACCAGCTGGACTTCCTCCGCCACTATCTGCACCCCACCGCTCCCGAGAAGGTGACTTTTGGGCAGGGAGGGGTCAAGGGGAGGTGGAGTGAGCAAGCTGAGAGGGAGGGAGGTGGGAGGGAGGTGGGTGCTAGGGGCCACTACCTGCACCCCACCGCTCCTGAAAAGGTGACAAATGGGGAGATAGGAAGGATGTGGGAGGGAGGTAAGAGCAACGTGGGTGCAATCTCCTTCCACCTGATGCAATCACTACGATTCAGTCAGTGCCTGTGCCTCCACTGAAATGGCTATACCTGAACAAGGCTTCGTTCACTATCTTTTTGTCACTTCTCTTCCTCTGTTGCTTCGATCCTTTTTCTGTCAGGCCTCGCAGGAGGAACTCGACAGGCTGTATCTGGAGGTGAATGCGTTCATCCAGTCAGTGCTTCCCTCCTAGCGATGTTCTTCCTACCGTATGTTTGATAAGCCCTGCTCCCCCTATTTCTGCTGCATGGCAGGCCTCGCAGGAAGAACTGGACAGGCTGTATCTGGAGGTGAATGCGTTCACTCTTGCCTCTCACTTCTTCTGGTGCCTCTGGTCACTCATTCAGGTACTTCTGCAGTGTCTTTTTGTGAATATCTCGCCCGTACCTTTTTCCAACAACTCCTCTTGACCCTCTGCCACCAATGTCCACTGGTAATACTTTCTAGGGGTGGGGAAATAGGGAAATAAGAACGCATGTTTGAGTAGTGCCTTGATCCTAAACCTTGGCTATACAACCCTGTTAAGATTTGCTTTGATTGTTAACTGCGGTCGTGCTATTACTTGTGCATGCTCCCCTCTACCCCTGCATTGTGTGTACCCCATGCGTCCCCACAGGCCAAGTACTCAGCCATTGATTTTGACTACATGGACTATTTCTTTGTTCGTTACGGCATTTATCTAAAGCGGAAGGAGGAGGATGTTGCGCTTGTAGAGGCTTACCTCGGCAATCGAAAGATGCAAACCAGCTTAGTGGTTTGAGCAGCTGACCTCCTCAGGTCAGGGCCCAGCAGATGGATTGTAGAATGCTGGCTTAAGCAAAGGGGACTTGTCCTAGAGGAAGGTTCTTGCTTGATGCCTTTTCATGATGCCATTATGAATACTAGGAGCCAGGTTAACTTATAATGGAGGTGCTTTCCATTTCCCTCTGTTAGATGGCATGATTAATGGGAAGGCATGAAGGAGGTTCCTGTGGTACAGTATGAATGGAAGGATACGCACGAATACAGCCCATATATCCCCGTCAACTTGCCTAAATTCTCAGTTTTTTTTTTTTGTGTAAATATATTATCAAATATAGATACATCCGCAGTCGTGACTGTATATCTTGGAGGGCCTAGGCCACGCCACGTGGGCGCCGCACTGCCCCCCTGCGACATGCTACGGAGGCTGATGGAATGTGCGCGGGTTGCGCCAGATAGAGAGGAAAGGGGCCGCCCAGTTTGTTGGCCCATCCTCGTCACAGATCTTCTGAAGCTGCTTCTTCTCATCCGCCGCCACATGGCTCCAGTTGTCGTTCTTCCAGAAACTTCTTCCTTCGCCTGCCGCAGCCGCCCTTCCCCTTGATGCAAACACCACCCTCGCATGCGTCATGAAATCCAGCACCGCACATCTTCCCACCTTCTTTCTTTCGAAAGGAGCTGCGCGCCAAACTGCATCGCACCGTGCCAACCAGATTCGCCTAAGCACCACCGCTATCAACGTCATCTTCGGAAACTCTGACGCCGTGCCCTTTTCACCAAACAATAGGTCCCCCAGACAGTTCACCGACCTGCCCGGGTTCAGCATGTGCAGTGTCCGCTTAAGCGCGCCAATGATCGGTTGTATGACCGGGCAACTGTAGAGGCAATGCGTTAGGGTTTCCTCCTCTCCACAGTGCGCACAGGCGTTCTTGTTCTGGAAGAAATCCAGCCTTCCCCCAACCTGCAGGTTCATGCTGTGGACCCTTAGCAGGACGTCACTCGCCTTGTTCGGCACACATATTGAGTCCCGGGTCTCAATGACCTTCTGCCAGTCAATCTTTTTGCCCCACACATCTTCCCACTCCGCTTGTCTCCAAGAACGCCCTTTCGCCATGGTTAGTGCAGCCCTTACACCTCGTAGCGGCACCAGTTCTCCCCCAGCGAAGAGTCCCGGTTGAGATATCAGCCGCACCTTTGGGTCGCCCACGGCTCCTAACAGTACCCCCTTCTGAACCGCCATTGGTTGGAGCCTGCACGCTTCGAAACACGTTTTCTCCGCCCTCACCTTGCTTCCTAACCTCCCGTCCTCACTGAGGAGCATGCTGGATGCGACGACCTTCGCGCCTTCAACCCCTTCCACTACCCACGGGAGTCTGGCCGGTTGTCCATGCAGGATGTATCTCACCACTCCTGACGCCTTCACCACAGCTTCAGCCGTCGCCGGCTCCTCAATCAGTTTTCTCCACTCTGGCGGCATGGCTCTATACGCTTTCCTTGCCATGACCGCCGCCTCCTTGCTCCCTAGCTCAATCACCAGCTCATCTTCCTCTTTCACCCCCCTTCGTCCCCCTGGACCGTCCGTGCGCAGGTCTCGAACACGCGTAGTGACGAGGGCCGCTGTGCCTATCTGGTGGCCGAACGGGCTCTCCCCCCGATGCATGATGTTTCTGTTGAAGCAAATGAATTCCTCCTCCACCTCCCATCTGCTCCTTGGAGCCGGCAGTGTCGCGAAAGGTGATTTCCATAACACCTTTGCCGCCGCCTTCCAGCGTTCACTGCCATGCTGCCACTGCTTTATCACCGACGGGTGCGCGTACAACGTGGCCAGTCCCTGCAGGAAGGCCGCCGCCTTTTCGGCCAGCCAACGGCGCGTCCCATCCGGCTCCTTCAGAAATTTCCCGATCCTGCGGACCGCCAGCCCGTCCAAGCAGAGTTTCGGATCCAGCTGTCCCAGAGCCCCGTCCTTCCGCGGCATACACGCCAGGTACGCACTCCACAGGATAATTTTTTTTTCTTCTGCCGCCTCCCCTGCCGATACGAACGCATGGCACAGCTTTCTTATTTTTTCCCACACTTCATCCGGCGGCGAGTATACTTGGGCCTGAAACATTAGAACCGGCAGGACGTAGCAGCTAACCACTGCCACTCTTGCCGTCGTCGTGAGATATTGCGCTTCCCACTTCCTTAGTTCTTCCTTTATCCTTTCGTACGCCCTCTCCCAGGATGGACCCGGGTCTCCGTTGGGCGTTATCCACACCCCCAGGAGCCTTTCCGGCTCTCCCTGCTCCGACCACTTGTACGGGATGTCCGCCGGCGCCGGCTCTCCCCTGTTGCTCCCCAGCGGCACAACCACCGACTTATCGCAATTCACCTTCAGTCCTGACTGTTTCCCAAAAGTTTCCAACACCTCCACCACCTTCCGTAGCTGGGCTTCCCCGCTCAACAAGAACGACGTGTCATCGGCATACCCCACGTATGCAAGTGGTTCTTTCCCGACCGGTCCGATACCCAGCTTTTCTCGTTGTGTGGCTCTGCATAGTGGCTCGAGTGCGCAAAGAAACAGGTATGGCGCCAGGGGGCAACCCTGCCTGACACCTCTGCCCATCTCCACCCTGTCACTTAACCACCCGTTAATGATGACCCTCGTTCCTGCGTCTGCGTGCAGGCCCCTGGTCCAGCCGATGAAATTTTCGGGCACTCCCAACTCCTTCATGACCCTGAAGAGGAAGGCTCTCGAGACCGTGTCATAAGCCTTCTGAAAATCCACCAGCAGCAATAGCCAATCCTCCTTGCCGCTGTTCGCCGCTTCCACCGTGTCCGCTACCACCGAGACTGCATCCGCCAGGCTTTTTCCCGGTAAGAACCCATGCTGTTCTTTAGACAGGACCTTGCCCAGCACCTTTTTAAGTCTCGTAGCCATAACTTTCGTGATCACCTTGTACATGACTGACAGCAGCGTGATGGGGCGGTAGTTCCCCAGCTGATCTGTTGGTCCCTTCTTGTGCAGTAGTACAGTCACCACTGTCGAAAGGCTCTCCGGCATCCTCGCCGTCCCAGCAAACTCCCCAACGAATTCCATTACGTGACCTTTCAGCAAGTCCCAGTGCAGGATGAAATACTCCGCAGGCAAACCGTCCTGTCCGGGAGATTTCCCCTTCGGGAGGCTTTCCAGCGCCTGCTTGACCTCCTCTTGCGTCCAGTCCGCCCCGAGGAGCACTGCATCCGCCTCCGAGAACCTGGCGCCTTCTAAGAAAGCTCCCCAGTCCACCTCTTCCTCTGGTAACACCTCGCTGAAAGCAGCCTTGAAGTGGTCCGCGGCCGCCTTCAGCACCTCCTTAGTCCCCTGGTACACCACTCCTCGGTGAGAAATCTCCCAAACCGTCGTCCGTTTTTTCCGCACTTTTATTTTGGCTGACAAATACGGCGACGGGACCTCCCCGTTGAGCTCCACCTTGATTCCCGCCAGGACCTGCATCCGATCTTTGCAGCTCTGAAGGTAAGCTTCTAGGTGCGCCTCTTTCCGCAACAGCCTGTTCTGCGCCCTCCTGTCCCCCGGGTACCGCATCACTTTGTGCCTCAGGCGCTCCACCACTCCCTCCAAGTGATGCACCGTTGCCTTCACCCTCTTTCGCTCCTCCCGTGAGTATTCCCTCAGACCCATGCTTAGCAGTTTCAGCTTCTTCCCCAGATCAATTCCCTCATCGTTCTCCAGTTTTTTAAGGATGTTGGCAGTCACCGTACTAACCCCTCTCCTTCGCGCCTGTATTGCCTGCATCCTCCATATGCCAGGGCCCTGATCCACCGGCGCCGCCACCGCGAGCGCGACCTTTATGCCGAACCAGTGATCCGACAGTCCCCTTGGGATCTTGATATGGCGCGCATCAGCCAGCAATCCGAGCAGCGAGAAGGACACCAAGCCCCTGTCGATGCGTGTGCTCGCCTTTGTCGCCCTGTCTCTGAATGTGTACTCTGGACAGCTTGGGTGTAGAACCCTGAAGGCATCTCTGAGGTCCTCTGTTCTGCAGAAGCTCAGCAATCTCTGATTCTCATTTCCCGAGCCCGACCGCGACGTTTTGTCCAGGTCCGGGTCCTCCACTAAATTCAGATCTCCCAGAATCACCAGGTGTGCGTATGCCGGCAGAGCCTGGACAAAAGGTGGGAGACAGCTCCGGAAGAAGACGCCTCTGACGCACGGTTGTGCAGGCAGATACATCGCTATCAGCCTGAAAGTGATCCGCGGGCACGACACCGTGACCCCCACCAGTCTTCCCGACGGGTGAGTAACCACCTCTGTAAGCTTAACCTCCTCGTTGAAAGACAACACCGCAACACCTCCTGCTCTTTCGCTGTTTCCCACCACTGCTGCCGAAGATGGTTTCAACTGCGTCCAAAAATTGTGATCTTCCTTTATTCCCGTGTCTGTGAGCACCACCACATCTGCAATCGTTCTGATCCACCTTACGTGTGCAGTTCTTTTGCCGTTGCTTCCGAGGCCGTTAACATTGACCTCGCACAGCGTGAGATTGTGGTTTTTACCCATTAATCCACTGAGACAGGGCCCCTTCGCATCCACGGGCTTGATACAACAAAACTCCTACACACTTCTTCGCGCGACGACCAGGTAATCCCCTTATTCTCCGTTTATCACATCTGCCTCTGTCATGAACACTTCTGACGACCATCTCTCTCTGCTCCATCACCCTTGCAGCCCAAACTCCTTGCGGATCGGAATGAAATTCATTTTCCCTCTGCTCTTCCTGCTTGCCGCTTCTCCCTGCAGGATAGCTGTGCAGTGCTGCACCAACTTCATATGCGTTAAGGCCTGCGTAAAGCTGGAGTCATGTGCCTTGCCGCACGCCTCCTGGACGCACAACCACTCCTCCCGGCTCCCCCCCGTGGAGATCAGCACCACAGCAGGGTCGCGTAAGATCTTTTTCACCCGCGCGTCTAAAGGCAGGGACGCAGCTGCTCAGGTATGAGGCGACGAGGCCGTCAGCAGACTCGAACAGGGCCCCAACAGCCTGAAAAACGAGGTTAGTGCTTGACAGTTTACTGTTGATCGCATGCAGACGCTCGAGAGTCAGGTTCCACTTGCCGATGTTCTCCTGACGCTCCGTAACAAAATCGTCATGGAACTTTGTCATATTCATACCACTACAGAAATCACAGGTGAGCGCGGGATAATGCACGAGAAGCTGCTTATGATGTACTGAGTCGACCAACAAATGCCACCAGCAATACTTATCCCCCGGGTGTCCCTTAACCAGACCCCGAATCTTGTCAGTGTCTGCACCAGTAACCGGGTCCACCACCCTGTGGAAAGCAGCGCCGCTGAGAAAAGGCGTCCGGCCTCGCTTCTCCAGCACCGTCTTCACCAGGTATTGATACACCATCTCCGACGTAATAGCTGCCGGGACACTCTTCAGCAGCACTTCAATGGATTCCGGGTTAGTTGCACGCTCCTGAATGTAAACCGGGTTTTCCGGATGCTGCCAGTCCAGGTAAATGTTCTCCTCGTTCAACATCTTGTGCTGGATCCTGCGACACCACACGTAGTTCGCGTCCGATGCCTGCTGAAATGTGACTTGCAGCCTATCGTACCGCTTCTTTGACAACCACGCCGGCAGGAGGACTTGGCACTTGGTCGTCGTCAGTACGTGAGCCGACATGTATTTCCTCCAAAGCGCGAGAAGTCCCTTGATCGTGTCAATAGTGCGGGGGACCTCCTCCTCGTACTTGATCGAAACCAGCAATGTGATGGAAAATCCCGCACGAGCAGCGATTTCTCCCACCTTCACCGGATCAAAACGCTCCTCCGGGTCATCACTAAGATATCCATCATCCTCTTCTTCCTCGTCTTCATTCCCTTCCTCAGGTGCCTCGGGAGCAGCGGTCGGCAACTTCACTTCCTCCTCTCTGTCTTGTCCTTCGTTAGCAATGTTGTCCCCTCCTTCAGCAGGCGCGTCCGAGGAAGGAAACTTAAGCGCCGACAGCCTCTTCACCAGCGAAGCGTGCACACCATCCGCAAAAGGGCCTTCCACATCCTTCAAGTGCGGCTTTGGCGTAGCCGGCTCTGACTGATGACCCTTAGCAGCAAGGTCCAGCACATCAGTACCCGCAGACTTGGTAGCCGGCTTAACAGCCTTCTCCGTCACTCGCGGCATGGTGCGATGATGAGAGCTCGAGAAGCTGCAACCAAGACAGGATGAAGCGCACGAAACAGCAAAGCTTAACCTGACTGCTCTGAGCACCGATTTCTTATAGCCGAATTGGTGATGCAATGTCCTTGGTTTCTTCCGTGGTTGATGTTGCATGAAACAGCTGTCTTTGGTAGCCGAATGCACCTCGATGTTTGTAAGCCGTGGCAAGATCTTAGCTGTCACCTTGGGAATATTGGAGTCTGACATCAGCCTTGGGAAAGCCTTCGAGAAACCATCCCTGGCAGTTACCAACGGAGTTAACGGAGTGCCTGACAAAAAACTTGAAAATACAATGCTCGTCATTTGAGCACATAAGAAGTATATTCTTGTTCGTCAGGTATAACCACCATAAATAAACAGCTTCCTCATCTGTTTTTGGAGTTCGCCTAACATGTCAGTAAAATGCGAAGTGTAATAGGGTAATTGAGATTTCTCCTTGGTAGATATTTCTCCTTCACGGGCAAGGATCCCCACGTCAGGTAGCAGCATCCCAGATGTCGTGGAAAGCGGCCCAATATCCCCCCAAAGCCGATGGGACATGGATGACGTGCTACCAGTCAAAACTCGCTAATGCGACAAGGGGGCCAAGATCCGCTCCTCTATTCTTGCTGAAAGTGCTGACAGGGCAACGGAGGCTACAATGCGCGGCTGCGGCAGGGAACTGCCTTCCCAGCGCCATGGCAACTGGTGGCGCGGAACATGGAGTCAACGTAGGGGGATGGTGCGCGAACGCCCCGTGATGGGGACCCCCGCGCGCATTGCCTCGTACGCAGGATGGCACAAATCGGCTCGCCGAGGTGTAGCTTCTGTCGCGGAACTCTCGAGGGCATCTCCTAGATTCTGGTTGGGCGGAAGGGGGGAAAGTTTAGCGCAGAAGGCAAGAGCGGACCGAGAAAGGAGGGGGGATCACAAGGAAGTAGAGAATCTGCAGAGAACAAGCAAGCAGCACACACCTCAGCAGGCACTGCCCACCCAACCAGAACCAATCCATTTCAACCTAGCACAACCTCAAGGCAATGGCATGTCCTTGTGCTGCTCAGTGCTGAATGTGCTGGTATTCTGGAACATCATCATCGTCGTGAGAATCTAACGTCGTAAATTCTCCAGAAGACATTCTGTTTCTGTGAATCCATTTTTGCGAAGAACATTTCCAGTTTCTTTTGACGTCCACGCTTGCAGCACCTTGCTGCCTTCGCTGTCTTGCACAGCTATACTGAATCCAGGCTTCCGCGTCTTCTAGTCGATTTTTATTTTACCACCAGCAGCAGCAGCCATGGTGCTCAGCGTTGCGTTACCCGAGGGTCTCGATGCGTCGAAGCTGTCGAAGGACATCTCCGCGTACAGCGAGCTGCAGCAGGCTCGTCTCAAGTTCCGCCCTACCCTCCCCTCCATGCTCGATGGGCCCAGCGTTGTCGAGAAGGGTCCTCCCACCAAGGCCGCCGGCAACGATGGTACGCGTCCCTGACGATATTATGTCCGAAATAAACATGTAGTGCTCGTTTGAGTGGACTCAAACATAAACACTTGGTGCTCGTGTGTGCCGTGCCGACCTTGTGACGATTCGTCTTGCGAAGACCATTTAAAATGGCAGCATTAGGGTGGATGCTTTCTACACGAACAGATCCAGGTCAAGTGTTTTTCCATGTCTTCATGCAAGAAGTTTTCTGGTTCAGGCATTGGTGGATTTGCCGTGCTGTTCTGCGTAAAACATTGATGCAAGGGAAGAGGAACTCGTGTTAGCAATAGATATTTCCGGTAGTCGTTATCGATACGTCCCGTCCTTGCGGTGTGGCTTGGTCGTTCCAAATGTAGGCTTCCCTCCTCGTGAGCCCGTTCCTTCTTATCTTGGTCCGCTAGGACAAGCTTTTCCATTAACATCGTTTTCTTCAAAGGAGTTCACCAAGCTCTTTTCATCGCTCTACGGTCAGCGCTCCGTGAAGCTTGTTCAGTTATTCATATTCACGTCTTTCTTTGTCTACTCGCTCTCAACACACCAGAGGAGATCGCCAAGCTCTTTCCGTCGCTCTACGGTCAGCCCTCCGTGAAGCTCGTTCCCGCCGGCGCCTCCTCCGCGCCCGCTACGCCCATCACCGTCGGCGTCGTTCTGTCCGGAGGCCAGGCGCCCGGCGGTCACAACGTTATCGCGGGACTTTTTGGTCAGTCTCCTCCTGTTTTCGGATATTTTTGCTCCTATTTGTGTTTAGATTGGTGGTTTTCGCTCGCTTCTATGACAAGCCTTTTCTATATATACATCCGAATAACCAGCCATCATCGTTCGTCAGTCGTTGCATTCGAGGTTATTGAGCTCCACGTTGCAACTCATGTTCATCTCCCATCTCTTTCTATCAAAACATTGACGGATGGTGCTGCTTAGGAACAAGGTGTTGCTCATTGCACAGTCTATTGATCGCTTCCGTCTTCCGCATGCACAACGGCAGCTCAAACCAGCATAGTCTTGAACTGACTACGCATGTCTCTTGCTCCGTCCTTCCCCACGCACCATCTGTTTTCCACCATCAGACTATCTGCAGGAGAAGGTGCCAGGCAGCAAGCTGCTGGGGTTCCTGGGCGGCCCGGCGGGAGTGATGAAGTGCAAGTACGTTGAAGTCACGGCAGAGTTCCTTTCTAATCGTCTTCCCATGCCTCCTGCTCCTTCCTTCCCCGTGCGCCTTCAGACTACCTGCAGGAGAAGGTGCCGGGCAGCAAGCTGCTGGGGTTTCTGGGCGGCCCAGCGGGAGTGATGAAGTGCAAGTACGTGGAGATCACGGCGGAGTTCCTCTACCCCTACCGCAACCAGGGCGGCTTTGATATCATCTGCTCCGGCCGCGACAAGATCGAGTCCCCCGAGCAGGTACGGCCGTCTCTTGATCGCTTCGTTGATATCGTCTTCGTTGATGTGCCTTTTACCGCGTCGATATCGTCGATTCGTAAAATGCATCACTGGATCTCGCTTTTTGTCTTTCTTTTGTTTCGTTCCCCCGTCGTTCGCATTTCGCCATGGCCGTGGCGTCAGCGGAGCAGCTTTCTCTCGACGGGCTGGTGGACTCTAGTTTTGTAAATGGGTGCCCCCCTTTTTCGTCCTTCCCGCACCCCTCTCCTCGTTCTGTCTCTCTCCCCTCGCGCGCAGTTCGCCATGGCCGTGGCGTCAGCGGAGCAGCTTTCTCTCGACGGGCTAGTGGTCATCGGCGGAGACGACTCCAACACCAACGCGTGCCTCCTCGCCGAGCACTTCCGGTCAGTGCCGCCCTTTGCCTCGCCCTCCTTCATCCGAGCACTTCCGGTCGACATTTTTTTCTGTTGCATGGGCCATGTGTTTATCGCGAGCGTCCTGTTGCGTTTCAAACTGGTTTTTATTCTCCTTTGTTTCCGAAGGATATCAAATCATAGATTCCTGTTGTTCCCGCATCTCCTTTGTTTCCACCTCGTATCGCATTCCGACTGTCGTAGTCGATATTTGCGGCATTGCGAATGATCCCATTCACACCTAACGTTTCTTCGTTTCAAGCCTATTTTCTTTTACCACATCTCATCACGTTCACCTCATTCCATCCCATCCCACCCCGTCGATCCACCGCAGCGGCAAGGGGCTGAAGACGAAGGTGATCGGGTGCCCCAAGACCATCGACGGCGATCTCAAGGCGGCGCAAGTGCCCATCAGCTTCGGCTTCGACACCGCCTGCAAGGTACGTGCGCTGGGGGGACCGCATGTTGGGGAGAACCTCGTTGAGCTGACTGGAGAGTAGGGAGTAGGGAGTAGGGAGGGAGGCGCCGCTTTCAAGGTGCCCTTTAGTTTCTTCTCGACTCTATTGTCACCCCACTTTCTGTCAGTGGTGGAAATGGGGAACGTTGGAGGGGAGTGGACAGGACTATACTGTATCTCCGCGCGAGGTTCATGTTTGGGAGGAATAGTTAACGGGGAGAGTTTTCACGGGACGAGGAATGGCACTGAAATTTGCAGTTTCTCATGATTCACAACGAAATAGTGAATGCACTCAGTTTTGTGTTGCGTAGCGCCGACACGTGAAGATACTAGACTTGACGGATTCGTTACTACCGTGGCTTGCTGCTATTGAACCGCCATTGCCAGCCGCTTTCGCATTGCGTGGCTCCGATGCGCTGATCATCTTCCCTTGGGTCCGTACTCTATGGGCCCTCTTTGACATCCTCTTCCGCTGCGATAATGCGTCTCACCCCGTCGTCTGTCTGCTCCCATCTTCCCTTGGACCTGTACGCTCTTTTCTGCCCCGCGCGCGCACGATATCCGTGCAGGTCTATTCCGAGACCATTGGGAACGTTATGACTGATGCGCGATCTGGCGGCAAGTACTATCACTGTGAGTAGAAGGGAGGGAGTGGTGTGAGTAAGGAAAAAAAGGGATGGGTGGGAGAGAGAGGGGAGAGGGGGAAGGGTTGGCTGCTTGCCGTTCCTCCGTTCGCGTTTCTTTGGACGTGGCATGATGCATGCAGTGAATTGGATCGGACCTGTCTCTCATGAGAGCTGGTTTCAACGTCGCCTAACGTCGCGTTTCATTTCTCACCCTGCCCTTCGCTCCTGTCTTCCCCCCAATCTCCCTGCCTCCCAACGATGGTGTGTGGTCGTTTTGCGTCCGATTTCATGTTGGTCCACGTGGCGGCTTGTGATGGTGTATGCGTCGGAAATTCGTCCACGTGGCGGCACGGCAGTCGTGCGGCTGATGGGCCGAGCGGCGTCGCACATCACCCTCGAGTGCGCGCTGCAGACGCACCCCAACATCACGCTCGTCGGCGAGGAGGTCAGTGCGGTTGAACGCAGTGGGGAGGTGTGGTGCGGTTGGATGCGGTGCGCGTAGAGTGCGCGCTGCAGACTCACCCCAACATCACGCTCGTCCGCTATCTGTCACCCACTGTCTGTCCCTGCTTGTCTGTCAGTTTCTGCTTGCTGTGGCCGTGCCTTTTTTGCTCAGCATGCGTGTGACTCTCTCCTTTGCTTGGTTCTCCTCCCGTCCTCTTTCCTCCGCCCCCTGGCTGTTGCGTCCCGCCAGGTGTTCGCAAAGGGCATGACGCTGGGCCAGGTCACCAACCACATCGCTGACGTCATCTGCAAGCGCGCCGATGCGGGCAAGAACTTCGGCGTCGTGCTCATTCCCGAGGGGCTCATCGACTTCATCCCCGAGGTGAGGAGGGGCTCATCGACTTCATCCCCGAGGTAGGTTCTATCGCCTCCTTCCAGGTATGGTGATCTGATCTCGCGTGCCCCATCCCCGCCTTTCCTTCAGCGTCGTGCTCATTCCCGAGGGGCTCATCGACTTCATCCCCGAGGTATTTCCTATTGCTTGCTCTTTAGGCGCTATGATCTCCGCTTGAATACCAGGAGGGTGCTCATTCTCGAGGTGACGAGGCCTTATTGACTTCACCCCCGAGGCCCACTCTTTCCTCGTCTGTTTTTTCGCTACTGTGACTGCGGTTCCGCATCCCCTCGCCCTTTACTTAGCATGGTGCTCATTTCGAGGCGCTCGTTGGCCTCATCCCGCTACTTTTTCTCGCCCGCACCACGTAGATCAACGATCTCATCCGCCAGCTGAATAAATTCTGGCCCCCAAGGCAGCGGTGGGCACGGAGAGCATGTACGAGTGGAAGGAGGGACTGCAGGCCGACAGAGAAGGTCACACCAATGCCCATCTCACCTCACCCTCCCTTTCCTACCGCCCCCCCCGACGGCGTACAGATCAACGATCTCATCTCCCAGCTGAACGAGATTCTGGCCAAGGCGGCGGTGGACGCGGAGGGCATGTACGAGTGGAAGGAGGGACTGCAGCCCAACACGCGCACGCTCTTCGACTCGCTGCCCAAGGACATCCAGGACCAGCTGCTGCTCGAGCGAGATCCCCACGGCAACGTGCAGGTACGAATGCTCTTGTAACGCGTACGGTTGATAGTGCTTATAGCGAGTGCTAGGGGAGCGGGTTTGGAGTGAAAAGGAGGAGAACAAGCGCGTACGCTCTTCGACTCGCTGCCCAAGGACATTAAGGACCAGCTGCTGCTCGAGAAAGACCTCCACGGCAACGTGCAGGTACTAAGGGGGTTGAAATTTGCTTATAACGAGTACGAGTTGATACAGGGAGGGGGTGAGTGAGAAGCCAACACGCGCACGCCCTTCCACTCGCTGCCCAAGGACATACAGGACCAGCTGCTGCTCGCGAGAGACCCCCACGGCAGTGTTCAGTTCGCGCCTCTAACACGTACAAAGGGGGGTTAGGTTGCCTCATAACGAGAGCAAGGAGGATCTGCGCACACTCGTGGGCCCTCCCAATGCGCCTCCCCTTTCAATGCGTCTCACCCCCCTCCTCCTCCTGACACGTGCTTGATATTCCTTGCTCCACACCACCCCCCAAACTGTACCGCATTCCCCATCCCCCTGCTCCTCCCCCTTCAAATCACAGGTGGCGCGCATAGAGACAGAGACGATGCTCATTAGCATGGTGGAGGAGGGACTGGGCCGGCGGCATTTAACCTTCAATGCCTGATTTTATTCCATTTCCATCCCCCCACCTTCCCCCTTATCCCTTCTGCCTTCGCCTCCCCCCTCTCCCCCACCCCCAGGTGGCGCGCATAGAGACGGAGAAGATGTTGATCAGCATGGTGGAGGAGGAGCTGGGACGGCGGGCCAAGGCGGGGCAGTACAAGGGCGCCTTCGAAGGCCGCTCGCACTTCTGCGGGTGAGTCTTGAGCGACGTCTCGGGTTCGAGATCCTGCAGAGTGAGAGGAGCTCAGCAGAGGAGGGAGGAGGTGGGAAGAACAGATTGGGGAGGTGAGGCTTTGATGAGAGTGCTGAACAGAGACCCTATGTCCGCCATTGTTTTTGTCCGCTGTCACATAGCACAAGCTATCGGTCCTTAACCCTCCCCAACTGCTAACGTCTCGAGTCCGCCTCCCTTCCCTCCCCCATTCTCCTACCATATCCACCCCTGCAGCTACGAGGGCCGGTGTGGCATGCCCACGCTTTTCGACGCCACCTACTGCTATGCTCTCGGGTCCGTGGCGGCAGCATTGGTGCAGGCGGGGGAGACGGGGCTGATCGCGTCCGTGGGGAACCTGACTGCTCCCCCTCAGGAGTGGACCGTGGGCGGCACTGCTCTCACTGAACTCATGGTCGTGGAGAGGCGCAAGGGTGAGTGGCAGAGGCGCAAGGGCGAGTGGTGGGAAAGGGAAGGGGCGCACGGGTGAGTGACAGAGGGAGGAAGGGAGAGAAACGAGGGGGGGTTTGAGTGGGGAGAGGTACAGGTGGGTGTGGCAGTAGCACTGGTGCAGGCCGGGGAGACAGGGCTCATTGCGTCTGTGGGGAACCTGACTGCTCCCCCTCAGGAGTGGACCGCGCTCACTGAGCTCATGGTGGTGGAGAGGCTCCAGGGTCAGTGGTGGGGAGGAGAGGAGAGAGTGAGGGGAGGAGAGGAGAGAGTGAGGGGAGGAGAGGAGAGAGTGAGGGGAGGAGAGGAGAGAGTGAGGGGAGGAGAGGAGAGAGTGAGGGGAGGAGAGGAGAGAGTGAGGGGAGGAGCGGAGAGAGTGAGGGGAGGAGAGGAGAGAGTGAGGGGAGGAGAGGAGAGAGTGAGGGGAGGAGAGGAGAGAGTGAGGGGAGGAGAGGAGAGAGTGAGGGGAGGAGAGGAGAGAGTGAGGGGAGGAGAGGAGAGAGTGAGGGGAGGAGAGGAGAGAGTGAGGGGAGGAGAGTACAGGAGAGGACTGAGGAAACAGGGAGCAGGGTGTGTTGTGAGTAGCTAGTAGTAATGGACTGTGAGGGGCACTGCACTGACTGAGCTCATGGTGGTGGAGAGGCGCAAGGGTGAGTGTTGGGGAGGAGAGGAGAGGGGAGAGAAGACCCACTGTCTTCAGCTCCAGGTTGTTTGCACCACAAGCCTCTCACACTTAGAGTTTCACTCATCCTGTGGATCATGCTGCTGTGTGTGTTGCTGCATGTGTGCATGTGTGCATGTGTGCACGTGAGCAGGCAAGAACAAGCCTGTGATCAAGAAGGCCATGGTTGAATTTGAGGGTGCGCCGTTCAAGAAGTTTGTCTCAGTGCGTGACGACTGGGCTCTTAATGACCGCTACAGAAGCCCAGGTGCGCCCCTCCCTTCTTACTCTCCTCTCCCCCATCCGCCTTCCTCAACCCCCTCTTTTCCTATCCCCTTCGCCCCCATCATTGGTTCATCTTCCTTCCGTTCTGAGTTTGATGCTGCTCTTGCTGTTGGTTGTGCACTCGTTTGTCTTTATCTCTTTCAACCTTTGTGCTCCTCCCTTTTGCACTGTTCAGGCCCCATCCAATTCGAGGGCCCTACTGCCTCCCAGCCCAACCTCACACTGCTGCTTGAGCAAGGCGTGTCCATCTAGAAAATAGGAGCTTGTTATACGCTAGAGAACATACCCGCATCTGTTGTGAAAGTTCGGGATGATCTGTTTTGGTTGGGAATGTTTTGATAGGTTTGCCATGGTATGGCAAGATAGTGGACTTTGCTGTGGAGCATCTGATGGTGACACGAAACTAGTTTGGCATCATACGAAGAAAGGATGTCATGTCACTGGAAACATTTAAATGTTCTGAAAACTTGCATTCAGTGAAACCTCGATGTACGCGCTGTAAACACTTGCGTAGCCACGAACCGCTCTGGTTTAGGCTCTCCCGCTCTGCTTCCAAGCTTGGATGAGAGCTCATGAGACTTTTTAGAACCGGAAGTGAAGCAGATGTCACTCATAAATTCGTCTGCGTCTCGAAATCCCAACCTCGGAGAAACATTACTTCTGTCTCTGAGCAGCCCTGACTAACAGATTGGCCGGCCTTGGGAATAGCCGCTACACCAATCAATTCCAGGCGTCCGCCATGGCAGCGACTAGCGTGCCGGCGGCCCCGAGCTTCGACGTGAATGTGCGTTGGTAGAACCGTAAATGGTATCAAGTAGTAGACCCTGTTACTGGAGATTTCCGCTTAGTGATGGTGTGCGTTGGTCAATCGCTGCAAGACTAGCATGTTAGCGTCTCTCCCGAAGCCCAGTTTCCGTTCCAGGTAGTAAGAAGTTAGCGTCATTCCCGAAGCCCAGTTCCCGTTCCAGGTAGTAAGAAGTTAGCGTCATTCCCGAAGCCCAGTTCCCGTTCCAGGTAGTAAGAAGTTAGCGTCATTCCCGTCCTCTCCTGTGCTCGCTTCTGTCCATACCTCTGCAGTACGAAAATGTTAGCGTTAATTTCGACGTGTAGTCTCTCGTTACAGGTGGTAAGAATCTAAGCTTCCTTTTAGTAATTTCGAGTCATGGTCCTGGCCTGTGTTCATATCGTATCCAGACTGCTACGATGTGAACGTCACCCCCGAAGTGCTTCCATCTGTCCGGCTTGGCCCATTGCCTACAGAGAGAAAGAGTGTGTGTGTTTATTTCCGAAGTGTCAGTCACCGCATTCCACGGCTCTAGATTCTACACCTTGGGGCCTTCAGTCTCGTCCTGTTCATTCGCAAAATGATGAGCTTCTGAGTCAGAACGAGGTGACCTATGAATCAGACTCAAAAACCCCAGACCCCAAACCCAACCCCGTCTCGTCCAACTGTCCAAAAGGAGAGTCAAGGTCTTCTTACACTGCTGAATGTGTTACCGTACAATCCATAACGAAGGGCGGGTGAGCGTTTTTTTCTGATAGTGGGTCTGGAAGTGTTTAACCCTGTTGAAAAAGGCGCCTCAAGAAAGCTGGCTCATCTCGCCGTTTCCGCCCTCTCTGTCTTGACTCCCCACCACTAACAGCCAATGCCGGGCGAGCCCTTTTTCCTGATAGCGGGGCCGAACGTGATCGAATCGGAGCAGCACACGCTGCACATGGCACGGGCTATCAAGGAGGTAGCTGACAGGTACAGGGAGGTTTGAGGGAGGTTTTAGGGAGGTTTGAGGGAGGTTTAAGGGAGGTTCGATGGAGGTTTTAGGGAGGTTTGAGGGAGGTGGGAGGTTTGAGGGAGGTTTAAGGGAGGTTTGTGGGAGGTTTGAGGGAGGTTTAAGGGAGGTTTGAGAGAGGTTTAAGGGAGGTTTGAGGGAGGTTAAGGGAGCTTTGAGGGAGGTTTAAGGGAGACTTGAGGGATGGAGGTGAATGGGGAGGCGTGAGGGGCTGGAAGGGCATGGTTAGGACGGAGCAGCACACTCTGCACATGGCACGGGCTATCAAGGAGGTCGCTGACAGGTGGGCAGAGGCTTGGGGGGTAGAGGTGAAAGCGGGGGGGGGCGGGGGAGCAGGAAGGAGTTGATTAAGTCGAGGCAGCACTCTTTGCTGCTTAAGGCGCAGTTCATTAAGTGCATCACGCTAAAGGAGCACACCCTCTTTGAGTCACATCGCTTGATGCACTGCACGGTAGCACCTACTCAATGGTTCCCCGTGTATTCCCTTTCTTGTGCAACTGCAATCGATCCATCCCAGCCTGGGTCTGAGGTTCGTTTTCAAGGCCAGCTTTGACAAGGCCAATCGCACGTCAGTGGATGCGTTCAGAGGGCCAGGCATGGAGCAGGGACTTAAGGTGAGTTGAATGGAACCCCACTTAAGTTTGCTGCTTGCTGAGAACATGTCAGAAGACCGATTGCCAATCGCACGTCAGTGGATGCGTTCAGAGGGCCAGGCATGGAGCAGGGACTTCACGCCTGCCTTTCTCTCAATCTGTGGAAGCTTCCAACTCCGGGCCAGCTCCAGTTGTTTCTTTGCATTTCTGGTTTTGTCCCCTTTTCCTGTTCAGTCTGGCTCACATTATGATGTTATTTTACCCTTTTGATCCCGTTTATACTTCAATCTCACATTCCTTTTTTCCACCCTCCCCCTTCCTCTTCTACACCCTCCTACCGCTCCCTGCTGTTGTGCATATTCTGTCTGGGAGTGGTGCAACAGATTCTGGAGCAAGTGAGACAGCAGGTGCAAGTGCCAGTGCTCACTGATGTACATGAAACGAACCAGGTGAGATGAGATGCCAGGTGAGATGAGATGAAACGAGCCAGGTGAGATGAGATGAAACGAGCCAGGTGAGATGAGATGAAACGAACCAGGTGAGATGAGATGAAACGAGCCAGGTGAGATGAGATGAAACGAGCCAGGTGAGATGAGATGAAACGAGCCAGGTGAGATGAAAAGAAACGAGCCAGGTGAGATGAGATGAAACGAGCCAGGTGAGATGAAACGGGCCAGGTGAGATGGAACGGAACGAGGCAGGTGAGATGAAACGAGTCAGTCAGGTGAGATGAAACGAGCCAGGTGAGATGAAACGGGCCAGGTGAGATGAAACGGGCCAGGTGAGATGGAACGGAACGAGGAAGGTGAGATGAAACGAGCCAGGTGAGATGAAACGGAACAAGACAGGTGAGATGAAACGAGCCAGGTGAGATGAAACGGGCCAGGTGAGATGAAACGGGCCAGGTGAGATGAAACGGGCCAGGTGAGATGGAACGGAATGAGGCAGGTGAGACGGACCTTTTCATTCACCTCCTCCTCTTCGCCATTTAAACCCAATCCCTGCTACTCCTTCTGTCCTTCCTCTCCTTCCTCTCCTTCCTCTCCTTCCTACTCTCCACCCCCCCATCACCACACGCGCAGTGCGAGCCAGTGGCCAGGGTGGTGGACGTCATTCAGATCCCGGCTTTCCTCTGCCGACAGGTGAGCCTTCCTCAGGTGGGCCTTCCTCAGGTGAGCCTTCCTCAGGTGGGCCTTCCTCAGGTGAGCCTTCCTCAGGTGGGCCTTCCTCAGGTGAGCCTTCCTCAGGTGGGCCTTCCTCAGGTGAGCCTTCCTCAGGTGGGCCTTGCTTAGGTGGGCCTCGCTCAGGCGTTTCTTTGCAGTGAGGTGTGCCTTCAGATGTTTCATCAGGTGGTTCTTATCTTTCAGGTGGTCCGTCAGGTGTCCGTTGTCAGGTGGTTCCATGCCCCCCACGTCCTCGTCTTCGTTGCATCACACATGTCGATGCCACCCTGTCGCTTTGCCACCCCATTACTTTGGAGCCCCATAGCTTTCAAACCCCCCTCCCTCCCTCCTCCCTCCCTCCCTCCCCCCCTCCCTCCCTCCCTCCCTCCCTCCCTCCCTCCCTCCCTCCCTCCCTCCGCTGCAGTAGACGGATCTGCTGACAGCAGCAGCTCGCACAGGCCGACCCATCCACATAAAGAAGGGGCAGATGTGCAGCGCTGAGGTGAGTTGCAGTGAGGTGAGGTGAGGTGAGGTGAGGTGAGGTGAGGTGAGGTGAGGTGAGGTGAGGTGAGGTGAGGAGAGATGAGGTGCAGTACAGTGAGGTTAGGAGGTGATGTGATGCATCCATCCATCCATCCCTCGCACATGAGGTGGTGGTGGCAGGCAGCAGCAGATAAGTTGAAGGTGGCCGGCTATTCCCATGATTACCCATACACACACAATAATGCATTCATCGATTTTTGAGACGTCTCAAAAGCACCCTCATTTCACGAGGTGGTGGTGGCAGGAGCAGAGAAGGTGAGGGTGGTCAGCAATTCCCATGAGTACCCATACACACACAATAATGCATTGATCGATCTATTCTTCCAACCGCTTAGATAAGCACATGCATCCATGCACCCCTCCACACACACATCAGGTGGTGGTGGCAGCAGCAGGGAAGGTGAGGGCGGCCGGCAATCCCCATGTGATGGTGTGTGAGCGGGGCACCATGTTCGGATACAGAGATCTGATCCTGGATCCGCGCAATCTGGTCCAGATGCGGGCGGCAAACTGCCCTGTGGTTGCTGACGTCACCCACTCCCTGCAGCAGCCAGCTCAGCGGCAGGTATGGCCTCCAATGGTGGAATGACACGTGGATACAGCACCTTATCTGAATCTTGTTGACCTTAGTTGACTCCCGTTCACTCTTGCGGACTTGCATCTGGCTCAATCCATGTAGATTCGCATCGATGCAGTTTGACTCAAGTCTCGTGCCATGTTGACTTAATTCGCGATTTGTGCTGACTTGAACTGACTTTGTTGAAAGCTGCCGGGAGGAGGCCTAGCGAGTGGAGGGCAGAGGCATCTCATCCCCGCTGACTCCTGTTTGACTCCAGATGACTTGCGTTGACTTCCCTTGACTTTCAGCTGCCAGGGGGCGGCCTGGCTAGTGACGTCATCTCTGCTGACTCTCAATGGCTTCAGTTGACTTGCGTTGACTTCCCTTGACTTGCAGCTGCCAGGGGGGGGACTGGCGAGTGGAGGGCAGAGGCATCTCATCCCTGCTGTGGCACGAGCATGTGTGGCTGTGGGGGTGGACGGGATTTTTATGGAGGTAAGCACTAGGATGTGTCTCGTGCACAACAGTGCTATGCGGGCGTGCATGAATGCGCTGTGAGCATGTGTGGTAGTGGGGTTGGACTGCATGTTCACGAGTGTGCATGTGAGCATGTGTGGTGGTGGAAACGGACGTCATTTCTATGGAGGTAGGCGGTGCAATGTTTTCTGATAAAATGTATGATGCTGCTCGCAGAAATGTGATCCTTTTTTTAGATCATTGACGAGATGTACATGCATAGACCACAGAGGCATCGAGGCATGGATGCATAGAGGCATCAAGGCATGGATGCATAGAGGCATCGAGGCATGGATGCATAGAGGCATCGAGGCATGGATGCATAGAGGCATCGAGGCATGGATGCATAGAGGCATCGAGGCATGGATGCATAGAGGCATCGAGGCATGGATGCATAGAGGCATCGAGGCATGGATGCATAGAGGCATCGAGGCATGGATGCATAGAGGCATCGAGGCATGGATGCATAGAGGCATCGAGGCATGGATGCATAGAGGCATCGAGGCATGGATGCATAGAGGCATCGAGGCATGGATGCATAGAGGCATTGAGGCATGGATGCTTAGAGGCATCAATGCAGTTGCTTGTACAAATGGCAATGTTAGGATGTGAGAAGGCGATGGTGAGGGCATATAGAAGATGGTACAGGTGTGGTGCTGGTGAGGTGTTGTTTGTGTGGCAGCAGCTATGTGCGCTTACCCTCCTCTCTGCTGCCCCTCACGGTCCGCTATGCCGCCCACCCCTGACCTCACTGCCGCCCACCCCTGACCTCTCTACCGCCCACCCCTGACCTCTCTGCCGCCCACCCCTGACCTCTCTGCCGCCCACCCCTGACCTCTCTGCCGCCCACCCCTGACCTCTCTGCCGCCCACCCCTGACCTCTCTGCCGCCCACCCCTGACCTCTCTGCCGCCCATCCCTGACCTCTCTGCCGCCCACCCCTGACCTCTCTGCCGCCCACCCCTGACCTCTCTGCCGCCCACCCCTGACCTCTCTGCCGCCCACCCCTGACCTCTCTGCCGCCCACCCCTGACCTCTCTGCCGCCCACCCCTGACCTCTCTGCCGCCCACCCCTGACCTCTCTGCCGCCCACCCCTGACCTCTCTGCCGCCCATCCCTGACCTCTCTGCCGCCCACCCCTGACCTCTCTGCCGCCCACCCCTGACCTCTCTGCCGCCCACCCCTGACCTCTCTGCCGCCCACCCCTGACCTCTCTGCCGCCCACCCCTGACCTCTCTGCCGCCCACCCCTGACCTCTCTGCCGCCCACCCCTGACCTCTCTGCCGCCCACCCCTGACCTCTCTGCCGCCCACCCCTGACCTCTCTGCCGCCCACCCCTGACGTCTATGCCGCCCACCCCTGACCTCCCATCGCCTTCACTGTGTGGCGCATCACCCATTTCCCCTTGCTGCCATGTGGCAGGTTCACGACAATCCCGAGGCTGCTCCTGTGGATGGTCCGACCCAGTGGGTGAGCGGGGAAGGATGAAGGGTGACATTTAATCAGAAAGGCTGAGAGTGGGAAGGGTGGGGAGGGAAAGGAGATGAGTGGAAAGAAGGGTGACGTGAAGAGAGTGTGAGGAAAGAGTGGAAGGGGGTTGTGAAGAGTGAAGAGAGAGGTGGACGGGGGATCGAGGGGGTTAGAATTATCAGGGTGTCATACGAAGTTCCGGTTTTTGAAAGGGAAAACCAGCAGAAGGAGTTATGTGTCCAACTAATATGTCCCAACTGATGCCTCTCTGCCTCCCGTGTTCTCTGTGTCTCTTGTGTGTTGCCAGCCCCTTCATCTGCTGCGGCCACTGCTGACAGAACTGATAGCCATTGCTGTAAGTCTAGTTCCACGTTTGTGTCAAAGCATGCATGTGCGTTACTTAGACTGGTCGTCTCTTTTTCTTCCCTGTTTATTGTGCAGCAGACAGCTATGTGTTGTTTGTCATGTGGTGCAGGGTGCAAGCAAAGGGAGAGAAACGTTGTACTTATGAGGTTCTTTTATGCACCGCCTAGGTAGCGATAAGTGATTTTATTATGATTGAAATTAATCCAGTACTGCTGTGTTTAGTACATATCTGCTGTCGTGGCAGATTTGGGAAGCTAAGAAATCCAGTTAGACTGCCTGAATCAGGGTGGCCAGAAAAGAAAGGTGAAATTTGAATGTTACCCTGCTATTTTGAGCTCTGTTGGCAAACCTTAGGATTTGCATTTGTAAGCATTATAAAGTTTGATGTTTTACTGAGAGTGTAGTGTCACGTCACGACCTGTTGCTGGATGGCATGGCACCCTGTGCCAGCTGTCCAATTCTCTGAATTGTAGGTTCATCGCAGCGGCTCGTATCTTGCCTTTCGTTGGAGGAACTTCGTTCGCACACCCTTTCGCTAAAGCATCATTTTCTGATCGCACCGCAATTTTGCGACAGGTCTGTCGGTCTGGGTGGGCCTGCGCGAAGCGGAAATTTTGACGAAGCTGTCTGTCACCTTGCGGCAAGGCGCCTCCCCCTCCTTGAAATGTCGGTTGCCGCCAAACGCGAAGTTGGGGTTCACCAACCTTGGGATCATGCTCGAGCATGTTCATCCAGACCTCGGGTTGCGTCTACAGATCCATATTAGAGTCCGAGGTCAGTTTGGTGCCATTTCGGAATGTACATCCACTCTGCACCAAATCCGTACATCCTAGGTCCACTACATTTACGCTTCGCGCCCTTGAGATTCGGGTTCAAGGTTCGAGTTGCAATGATTGAGGGAGGTCTGCACGCGGCGTGGGTGCTATCACCACCTGCCACCTCCTTTCACTCCCCTTCAGCTCCATTCAACGTTATCTGAACCTCTCATCACCTCCCTTCACCTCCACCTGCCACCAGTTCTCCAAGCGTTTTCCCCTCGTCAAGAAAGAAACACCAACTTCAAGGCTGATTCGAGTGCGTCAGCGTTTTTGTCGCGCCGCGGTGGTAGTTCTCTCCTGACCTCCTCCTACTCCTGGCCTTATCTTTCTTTGACATCTGCCAACTTTCTCTATTCGTCCCTGACTGCTTATTCCCGATAGCTTGGTCATGCGTTTTCGAGTTGTTCGATTTGTTCGTGAACTCCGCGCTTGAAGCATCAGAGGCTTGACGGGTTGACTTTCAGTCGGATTGCGAATCCAAAGCAATGATATATTATTTGTGGTACCGAATGCTTCATAAGGTGACATCGTTGTCGATTTAGGAGGCAACTTCAGATTGTTGGTCCCAGCATCCGAGGCTTCGCGAAAGCTAGCCGTGAATATTTCGTAGCTGTATCTTTACGCATGTTTAGGTAACCCTAGAAAGCGAATTGGTTGCGCAGGGGTCTGCGAAAACAGATTTCAGCGATAGAAATGGCGAGGCTACGCGTGCAAGCTCCACCGAGACTCTTCTTAATCGTTCTCACCGTGACGATGCTATGCAATTACCACTCTGGTCGACCTTGTGAGTGTTTACCCTCCTTTCGAGGTTCCTAAGAACGCGCTCCGCTGAAACTGAACGTATTCGCTCTCCTGCGACTCTGGTCATCCGTGATGGTCCGACACACCGCCAAAGTACACGCACGGTCATTTCGCTCGCTCGGGTGACAGCGGCAGCGCGAATATAGTTATTGTGTGCGCAAGCCGCGGTGCGCAACGGCTGGGTTTGCCCCGTGGCAGCTTCTCAGTCGGCTAAGTCAAATAGACCAGCTAGTGCCGCTGCACTGCCTTGTCACCTCCCGTACCTTCCTTCCGTACCTTCCTCCCATACCTTCCTCCCGTACCTTCCTCCCGTACCTTCCTCCCGTAATTTCCTCCCATACCTTCCTCCTGTACGTTCCTCCGTACCTTCCTCCCGTACCTTCCTCCCGTATCTTCCTCCCGTACCTTCCTCCCGTACCTTCCTCCCGTACCTTCCTCCCATACCTTCCTCCCTTACCTTCTTCCCGTACCTTCCTCCCGTACCTTTCTCCCGTACCTTTCTCCCGTACCTTCCTCCCGTACCTTCCGCCCTTACCTTCCTCCCTTATCTTCCTCCCTTACCTTCCTTCTGTCCCTCTTTTCCCCCACCCCTTTCTAGTTCCCACATCCCTCCTCCTCGTCTTGGCAAGTAGCCTAAATTTGCGATTGCCTGGATAATTTATGGGCCTCAGGCCTTGGCTAAAAAGCCATTTGCCAGCCTTGTCAATCGCCTACATTTGCGATAGTGTGCGTAACCTAGGTATCTCATAAACAGAGGCACTTAGAAGCAACCCATTGCCATCCTTGGCACTATCCATAAGCTTCACTCCCTCCTTCGCAGCCCACCTCACCACCAACCCCGTTTCTTAAGTACCCCCCCACCGTTCCCTTCCCTTCCCTCAATCCCTCCTACTCCCCCTCAACCTCTCCTTCCCCCCGAACCCCCCTTATCGTCCCCCCGCGGCCCCTGTTCTCGGTGCAGCGAACGCGTTTTGAGACTTCCCAAAACTCCTGTCCTTACCGCTCCCCCTGTCCTCAACTTCCCCGTCCCTCTGATCTCCTTCCCGCGTCCCCTGTTCTCCCCGCGCTTCAGTTCTGGTTATCCCAGCGCACTCGATTCAAGTTGATCTTGCGAAGACGAAGTTACCTCTATCTCCGTGGGAGCAGGCTCGCGCGGCGATCAACCTCGCGAAATCCAAGCTACCCAAGTTACCACGATCGTCGCCGTACGAGCGCGAGTGGGCGAAATATCGCCAGCGCGACGGGCTGCTTTCGCTGGACTATGTGAAATCGCTGGCGAGGACGAATGCAGCCAAAAAGAAGAGTGGCAGCAGCGACGTCTTTAAAGTCGTGTTTGTAAGTAACCGCACTGCACCGCACTGTTCAGCGCCTTTCCCCCTCTCCTTGTCTGTCCCTTTCCCTGATTGCCACGTCTTCCCATCCTGCCACTTCTGCATTCCCCAGGTTTCCCCCACGCCCTCTTCCCTGGCAGAAGAGGGAAAGTTATTTCTTAGCTGCAGCATGGGGCGGTGCGTAACGCTACTTCGTCTGCTGTATTCGCCTCTGAGGAAACTGAAGAGCATGCAGTCATCTCCTCTTTCTTGACTCCCGTCCTTTGCCTTCTCCTCCCCACCACCCACTCTCTCTACGTCCTCCACTCTCCCCTCCCCTCCTCCCCTCCCCCCTCCCTCCTCTCCCTCTCCCTCTCTACAGTGTTCCCCCACGCCCATGCCCCCCGCCCAGCGAGGCAACCTCATCCTCCATTCTAGCATGGAACAAGGTTCGGCTACTTCCTCTACTTAATCCCCTTCCTCCCCACACTCTCTCGTCCCCTCCTCCCGTCCTCCCAGTGTTTCGAAACCAGAGCAGGGCAGGTTGGTGAGTTTTAGACGCGTGTGATCGGGAGGCTATTGGTCCGCCATAATACGCGTGCTAAAAAACCGTGAGTCTTGATGGTACAGCAAGTAGACACTTGAAAACGCTTGTGCAAGCTTTTCTGACTGAGGATGATATCACGCACATTCAGACGAATAGGAACAAAATGCTGACCTGTTGGACAAAGATCACGAGAGGTGATAGGGAGAACTAGGGTGCTGATGGTACGTACCTGCCGGAGGCGTGGGCGCGTGCGAAAGCTGCAAGGAAGTTGGAGGTTGAGGCCGTTAGTCATTCACGCCTCCACAACCTCTAGCTCCCTTGCAGCTTTCGCACGCGCCCACGCCTCCGGCAGGTACATACCATAAGCACTTAAGTTTTTCCTATCACCTCTCGTGATCTTCGTCCACCAGGTCAGCATTTTGTCCCTGTTCGTCCTCAGTCAAAAAAGCTTGCACAAGCGTTGTCATGCGTCTACTTGTTGTACCATCAGGGTTCACGTTTTTTAGCACGCGTACCAATACCCTCCCATCACACGCGTCTGAAACTCGCCAGCCTGGCTTGCTTTGAAACTCCACTCGTCTCCACCTCCTGGCAGGGTTTCGGCTACTTCTTCTTAATCCCCTTCCTCACACTCTCTCGTCCTCTCCTCCCCTCCTCCCAGTGTTCCGACACGCCCACGCCCCCCGCCCAAGAGGGCAATCTCTTCTCCAACCCCAGCATAGCGAACGGCACCATGGGCTGGCAGGGCTTTGGGTACGCGCCGATCAAAGCCATGGTCAACGCAACAGCGCCCACGCCCTACTCGTACCTGGTGGCTTACAACCGCTCGTACACGTATGCGGGGCCCAAGCAGAGCGTGCGGGACGTGCCTGCGGCGGCTTATGAGCTGGCGATCTGGGTGAAGCTGGACGCGGGGGAGCGGCAGTACGTCACTGCATCGGCCAAGATCAACAACAAGTGAGTCTGTCCCCCAGATGCAGCAGCGCAGCTTACCGTCGGCGATACGCACAAGGTACAGCCCTACACTCGTACCTGGTGGCGTACAACCGCTTGTGCACGAAGCAGAGCGAAGGACGTGTCTGGCAGCTTATGAGCTGGCTATCTGGGTGAAGCTGGATGTGGGCGTGGTGGCGTACAACCGCTCGTACACGCATGCGGGGCCGAAGCATGGATGTGAAGCAGAGCACGAGGGACGTGTTTTGAGGCGCCTCAACAGAGCACGAGGGACGTGTTTTGAGGCGCCTCAACAGAGCACGAGGGACGTGTTTTGAGGCGCCTCAACAGAGCACGAGGGACGTGTTTTGAGGCGCCTCAACAGAGCACGAGGGACGTGTTTTGAGGCGCCTCAACAGAGCACGAGGGACGTGGCGGCTGCGGCTTATGAGCTGGCGGTGTGGGTGAGGCAGGACGCGGGGGATTGACAGTATGTAAATGCAAGATTAACAAGTGAGTGCGAGATGATTTTTTAGTCCACTTAAAGGGGAGTGTGGTACAGTGGTGTGTGGTAGGCGATAAGGACTTGGTGTCACTGCAGCGACAACACCCTACTCGTACCTAGCAGTGGGCAATCACTCGTACACGTATTTGGGGCTACAAAGCAGACTGAAGTGCGTAAAGGCAGTGACAAGTGAGCTAATGGCTTGCGTGAGGCTGGAAGTTTGGTAGTGACATCGTGGTTTTGACTTTTGAGTCGACTCAAAATGAGGCTGGACGTTTGCTAATGACATCGTGGTTTCGCAACGGCTCAAACCAGCCAGAACCCGCCAAGTGCGTGCATCTGGTTATGCATCTGTTATATGTTCTCTTTGTTGTTTTTATTGGGCAGGTATCTGTGCATCGGAGGGGCGAACGCTCGGTCCACGTGCTGGACGAAATTAACAGGGGGATTTACCCTGCACGAGCCGGCCGCTGAGGTGGCGGTGTATGTGCAGGGCGCAGCGGTGGGGTCCGAGATCTGGGTGACGTCAGCATCGCTTCTGAAAGTGGATACGAACATGTGGCGGAGCCGACAGAACGAGAACATTAAGAAGGTGAGAAGGGGGGAAGGAGCGAAGGCGGGGGGGAAGGGAGAAAGGGCATGAAGTTGACTCGAATATTGTCTGAAAGTGGATATGAGCATGTGGATTCGAAGGGGCGAAGGCGAGGGCAGGCAGTTATGAGCAGAGCAAAGAACTTGTAAACATGCATGCACCCCATTCATCCTATTCATCCATGCCCTGCTGCCCATGCTCTCTCCCCACGCTCCCCAAGCTCTTCTTTTCATTATGCCGCTATGCATGATCCCTTCCATTCCCCCACCACAGTACCGCATGCGGCCTGTGCGGCTGTCTATCCAAGGGCTGGGGCTCAGCCTGGTGCCGGCACGCGTGCAGATCGACCGACTCACCACGCTCCCCATGCCCCCTATGCCCCCCATGCACCACATGCAATGCAATATCCCGCCTCCGCCACAGTACCGCATGCGGCCTGTGCGGCTGTCAATTCAAGGGCTGGGGCTTGGCCTGGTGCCGGCACGTGTGCAGATCGACCAGGTCTCTTCAGATTTCCCCTTTGGCGCCAATGTGAACGGTGCAATTCTATACGACACAGCGTACCAAGAGGTATGACTTTTGAGAATTCTCAAAAGAGGTGAGATGCTTTTCAATGCTGCAACAGTGGCTCTTGAGGCATCTCAAAAGTAAATAGTCGAGTTTTGAGTCGACCCTAAACCCTACTTGTCATTTTGGCGTTTACGTTGAGTTTTGAGTCGACTCAAAACTCGACTTGTCATTTTGGCGTTTACGTTTCATGAGTCGAGTTTTGAGTCGACTCAAAGCTCGACTGCAACAGTGGCTCTTGAGGCATCTCAAAAGTAAATATGAGGTGCCTCAAGTTCAAAGTCAGCGGGTACTGATGAAGGCCTAGCGGGTATGATCCCCGTGCAAAGCCGAAACATGCTTGCTTTCGTCTAGAGTTGTACGTTCAGATCTTAATAAACTTTTTCAAGGGTTACTTTTTTCACTAGTTGACTATCGTCCCTTTGCTAAAGGCGACCTTGCCTACTGCTGCCCTTCTTCATGAGCACAGATCCGTGATGCTTTTCAATGCTGCAACAGTGGCTCTTGCGGCATCCCAAAAGTAAATAGTCGAGTTTTGAGTCGACCCTAAGCTCGGCTGCAACAGTGGCTCTTGCAGCATCCCAAAAGTAAATATGAGGTGCCCCAAGCATGACCCTGCTTACCAAGAGAGGGGAGGTGTCTTTGATGCTCCAACAGTGTGAACCACCCAGGTGCTGTCAGACTCGAAAAGCACGACTTAAACACGACTTTCAGCAGTGCTGTTCCATACGGCCGCAGCCTACAGCGTACAACCAGGTGGGGTAACACGATCAAGAAGGGGGGCGATTGATGTGTTTTTTTTTTTTTTTTTTTTTTTTGAACCAATTTTTTGATCCGTTTGGGAGAGTCGTGGTTTAAGTTTGTCATGAGTGTTCTTCGGTTGCCATTTAAGGCCCACGATCGTGCTGGAATTTTTTATCTTTGAAACACCCATCTAGGCCATTCCTAGCAGGAGAAAGTGGACCGGAATGCTGCTGGTGTCACACCTTCGGATGGTGTTCACACCTTCGGATGGTGTTCACACCTTGGGATGGCGTTCACACCTTCGGATGGTGTTCACACCTTCGGATGGTGTTCACACCTTCGGATGGTGTTCACACACACCTAGGGGCGCCCTATCGATTGGGCAAGTAGAGCTCCATCTGTCTCTTCCGCCCCTCTCCAGTGGTTCTTAAGCTGGTTCAACTCAGCAGTATGCAGCAACGAAGCCCAAAGGTACTTCAACGAGCGGAGGGAGGCAGGGCGCAAGAGGAGGACTAGAATGTGGCTGATGCGCTGGTGGAGTGGTTCACCGCTTTACACCCCTTTCTACCCCTTTCCACCCACTTCCACCCGCTTCCGCTCCCTCCAGTGGTTCCTAAACCAAGTTCAACTGGGCGGTGTCCAATAACTAGGGCAAGTGGTATTTCAACGAGCGGAGGGCGGGAGCAGAGGATTACAATGTGACGGATGCGCTGATTGACTGGTTCACTCCTTTCAACCCCCTTTCCACTCCCTGCCACCCCTGGCCACCCCTTGCCATCCCTTTCCACCCCCTTCCTTTCCTTCCAGTGGTTCCTCAACCGATTCAACTGGGCAGTGTTCAACAACGAGGGCAAGTGGTATTTCAACGAGAGGAGGGAGGGAGCAGAGGACTACAATGTGACAGATGCGCTGGTGGATTGGTTCATCCAGAGGAACGTGAGCGTGCGCGGTCACAACATCTTCTGGGCTGTTGAGAAGTTTGTTCAAACATGGGTCAAGGTGAGTCAACGCCGGTCAACGCTGGTCAAGGTGGGTCAACCTGGTAGACTGGTTCACGCAGAGGAATGTGAGTGTGCGAGCACACACAACATCTTCTGGGCCGTGGAGAGATTTGTGCAGACGTGGGTCAAGGTGAGTCAACGTGGGTAAACGCTGGTCAATGTCGGTCAACGTTGGTCAAGGTGAGCCAACACTAGTCAAGGAAATTGATGCTGTGATGCTGGTTCAGGTGAGTCAATGCTGGTCGGACTACTACAAAATTTTCCTGTTTGTTTTCCCCTTTGCCCCTTTGCCCCTTCCCTTTTCCCTTTGCCCCTTCGCCCCTTCCCTTTCCCCCAGAACCTGAACGACACTGCTCTATGGGCGGCGCTGCAAAGGCGCATGAACAGTGCAGTGACGCGCTACACGGGCAAGGTGCAGCACTGGGATGTCATCAACGAGCCTCTGCATGGCAACTACTACGGGCAGCGGTTGGGGGAGGACATTCACTCGTGGACTTTTGATCTCCTCGCCCTCTCTCCCCCTTCCCCTTTCCTCATTCTCCCTCCCTTTCCTCCTCCCCCTTTCCCCCTCCCTCTCCTCCTCCCCATTACTCCATCCGTTTTCCCCTAATCCCCAGAATCTAAACGACACTGCTCTATGGGCAGCCATGCAACGACGCATGGCCAGTGCGGTCACCCGCTATCAGGGCAAGGTGCAGCACTGGGATGTCATCAACGAGCCTCTGCACGGCAACTACTACGGGCAGCGGTTGGGGGAGGACATTCACTCGTGGATGTTCAAGGCCGCGCGGGCGATTGATCCGAATGTGCGGCTGTTTCTGAATGACTATAACACGGTGGAGCAGTGTGACCGAGGGGCCAACCCAGAGGTGTACCTCGAGGTGAGACGCGATTCAGTGCGGTGAGAGGCCATTTATCTGAATGTCAGGTTGTTTCTGAATGACTATAACACGGTGGAGCAGTGTGACCGAGGGGCCAACCCAGAGGTGTACCTCGAGGTGAGACGCGATTCAGTGCGGTGAGAGGCCATTTATCTGAATGTCAGGTTGTTTTTGAATGACTACAACACGGTGGAGCAGTGCGACCGAGGGGCCAACCCAGAGGTGTACCTCGAGGTGAGACGCGATTCAGTGCGGTGAGAGGCCATTTATCTGAATGTCAGGTTGTTTTTGAATGACTACAACACGGTGGAGCAGTGCGACCGAGGGGCCAACCCAGAGGTGTACCTCGAGGTGAGACGCGATTCAGTGCGGTGAGAGGCCATTTATCTGAATGTCAGGTTGTTTTTGAATGACTACAACACGGTGGAGCAGTGCGACCGAGGGGCCAACCCAGAGGTGTACCTCGAGGTGAGACGCGATTCAGTGCGGTGAGAGGCCATTTATCTGAATGTCAGGTTGTTTTTGAATGACTACAACACGGTGGAGCATTGCGACCGAGGGGCCAACCCAGAGGTGTACCTCGAGGTGAGTGAGAGGCGATTTGATTCGGTCTAGCGAGTGCAGAAGGGCGTGTGGCGTGAGTGGGAGAGGGCATGCAATCATGATGTTCAACCAACTCTCCCCCTCTTCCCTCTCTGTCCTCAACCTCTCTCATCTTTGGTATTGAGCAGAAGGTGTGGAATCTCAACGCAACTGGGGCGCCAGTGACAGGGATAGGCGTGGAGGCGCATTACAGTGGGGAGCCGCAACTGGTGAGTTGAGAGAAACCGGGTGTTGGGAGGGGGGTGGTTGAAGGGAAAACTACAGTGGGGAGAAAGGTGCAAAGGGCGTGGCGGCACATTACAGCGGTGAGAAGCAGTGTGCAAAGGCTAAGTTCCCCTTCTGGCAAACAGACCAGTGACGTGGTCTCCTCCGACGTGAGAGGCCTTCTCGCATCCCTCGGTAGCGGGCATAGTGCTGTGGTCGGCTGGTTGTGTGACTCTGCTCTCCTAGTACCCGGGGGCCTTGCCCTCATCTCTCCACCTCCTCCCTTCTCCTCATCTTCTCTCCCCTCAGGTTCGCTTGAAGCACGATCTGAACCGGCTGGCAATGGCCAAGCTCCCCATCTGGCTGACCGAACTTGATTTCAGCGAAGTGGAGTCGGATGAGCAAAGGGCGGATTATCTGGAGGCAGTGATGCGAGAGGCCTTCTCGCATCCCTCGGTGGCGGGCATGGTGCTGTGGTCGGCTGGGCGGTCCACGTGCGAGTTCTATAAAGACATTGATTCCGGCATGTGCAACCCGTGTGATGCTTGCCTCGCGGATTTGAGCTTCACTGATAATGAGGCAGGGAAAAGGTGAGAGCTGGGAGCGGGTGTGAGTCGAGGTGACATTTCAGCCACGGCATCGTGATGTGGTCTTCTGGGCGGTCCACGTGCGAGTTCTACAAGGACATTGATTCCGGCATGTGCAACCCGTGTGATGCGTGTTTGGCGGATTCGACCTTCACGGATAATGAGGCGGGGAAAAGGTGAGAGCTTGAGAGTTTTGAGCAGGTACAAGAGGAGGCGGTATTTGAGAGCTGACTGATAAATTATGGAAGACAAGGCAGGGAAAAGGTGAATGCTTGGCCCTGCGATTTCATTCAGGTGTTGTTCTGGAGTAGAGTCGCAGCATTATCTGAATTGTCGTTGTTCGGAGATGTACTGAGAGAAAGCTGGTTCTTGAAAGACTTTGAAGGGTAACCACATATGGAACAAGAGCCATCTTTTCTCAGTACAGCTTCTCCCGACTGAGGCCAGCAGCAGCAGCAGTAATGCCATGCGATGGGCAGCTGAGCGAGTCTCGCTTTCAAGATCTCGCTCCTGTTATCCATTGCATGGCGAATATGTATTCCGTTCCATCCCAATGCCAGTGCTTCCCATGCCAACCAATTTCGCTCCTGTCCATGCTGCATGTCCCAAAGCCCTTCAGCCCCCATTCACCGCCCGTCTTTCCTCCTCTGCCCATCACCCTCCCTCCAGGTTCGTGCGCCTGCGTCGGGAATGGAGCACCCACCTGAGCAGAGTGATCTGGCTCGGCCGAACCATGAAACTCAGCCCGTTTCCCAAACCAAGGTACTCGCGAGCACTGCTCTATGTGCCATACTGTTCCACACCACCTAACCTCTTCCTTCCATCTCTCCCTCCCACCCACCCTTCCGCCCACCCATCCTCTCCTCTCCGCTCCTTTACTCTCCTCTCCTCTCCTCTCCCCTCCTTCCCCCCTCTTCGCCCTCCCCTCCTCCCCCTCCCCTCTTCCCCCTCCTCTGCTCCCCTCTCCTCCTCTCCCTTTTTCCACTCACCTCCTCCCTCTCCCCTCTTGCCTCTCCGTAACTCCCCCTCCCCTCCCCCCCTCCCTTCCTCCCTCTCCCCTCCTCCCCCTCCCCTCCCTCTCCCCCCTTCTCCACTCACCCCCTCCCACTCCACTCCTCCCTCTCCCTTCCTCCCCGTCCCCTCCTCCCCTCTCCTCCTCCCCTCTCCCCTCCTCCCTCTCCCTTCCTCACTCCCCCCTCCTCCCTCCCCCCTTCCTCCATCTCCTCTTCTCTCTCGCTCTCCTCCCTCTCCCCTCCTCCCTTTCCCCTCTTCCTCCTCCCCTTCTCCCTCTCCGCTCCTCCCTCTCCCCTCTTCCCGCTCCTCTCCTCTTCTCTCCCCTCCTCCTGCTCCTCTCCTCTTCTCTCCCCTCCTCCTGCTCCTCTCCTCTTCTCTCCCCTCCTCCTTCTCCCTGTCCCTCTCCCACTCCTACCTCCTTCCCCATCTCCCGTCTCCCATCACCCCACCAGGTACCAGGCGTTAAGAGCTGAGTGGAGCACCCACTTCGCAAGGCGATCCAGGCTGAACTCGCCCCTCTCCTTCACAGCCTTCCACGGCAGGTGGGTGGCTCGTGTTTGAATTGAAGAAGTGTTTTGAGACGTCTCAAAACACTTCTTCAAACACACGGCAGGTGGGTGGGTGGCTCAGCGGTGCATTGCATGGCAGGTAGGGCTGTAACTCAATTCAAGCAGGTAGCATGCCCTCTCCAGGTACAGGGCTTTTAAATCTGACTGTAACACTCACTCCTCAAGGCGATCCCGGCTAAACTCGCCCCTCTCCTTAACAGCATTCCATGGCAGGTAGTGCAGAGAGAGTTGTTACTCAATCCAGGCAGGTAACATGCCCTCCGGGTCTCGTGGCTCTTAGGGCAGAGTGGAGTGGAGCTGCTCATCTCCACTTGTCGACCCAATCCTGGCTGGGGTCGACTTTTGAGGCGTCGTCTTAGAGCAGAGTGGAGTGGAGCTGCTCATCGCCACTTGTCGAGCCAATCCTGGCTGAAGTCGCCCCTCTCCTTCACATCGGTTCACGGCCGGTAGGCCGTTCACCATTCCAAAAGAAGTTCTGCCCGCGCACGCTCACGTTCCTCTTGGTGAACCACTCCGCCAGCGCATCCGTCACTTTGTAGTCTGTTGACCAGCGTTGACTCACCTTGACCCACGTCTGCCTGAACCTCTCCACGGCCCAGAAGATGTTCTGCCCGCGCACGCTCACGTTCCTCTTGGTGAACCACTCTGCCAGCAGAAGGGCTAAAATCTGTGCTGCTCATCAAGCGATGGCGTGGCAGATAAGTGTAGTTGATCAAGCCAGGCACCCACTTTTCAAAACGAGCCCGGTGCCCCGCCCCCCCTCCCGCTCCTTCACAGCAACACCACGGCAAGTGGGCGGCTCAGCATTGCGCGGCAGGTAGGTGGTTCAGCAGGCAACCCCCTAATGCAGAACCAAAAAAGATCGCTTCTCTATTCCCTTCAGGTACCAAATGAGGGGTCTTCTTGAGAGGCCAGCAGGAGAAGCCCTAATATCTGCCCAAGTTATTCACGATTCATTTCACTCTTCTCTTTGTTTCACTCATCTCATCCACACCCCTCCCTTCAGGTACCGAGTCAGAGTGTCCTTCAGGGGCCAGCAGGTGGAGCGGTTCTTTGATGTGCCCAAGGGTGCTGGCAGGCTTAATGTTGCCGTCCAGTTGTGACGGGGAGTCCGCATGTGGTGAGACTGTATTTGCAGCACCTGAGCATAGTCTCCCCATGTGCGGATTAAGCGTGGCAAGCTGAATGCTGCTGTCGTGGTCGGTTGCGAGTTTGCCATCCGCGTGACGCCAGTGTTTTCTTACAGTTGTGAAATCACACAAGGGTGGGAGGTGCTGGAGGCTGCAGCTGCAGCCACACCTTGCAAGCAAGCCACCGTGGTACTCCACCCTCGGCCAGTTTTGTTCCTTTTCAGTCAACAGGCCTGTTGACTGCTCTAACCTACTATCCAGTGGTGCTGGGGGAATGTATGTCGCGGTTGCTCGAGCTCCCACCACTACACAGCAGCAGGGGCATGGCAGAGTTTTGAGGCGCTTCAAAGCTTGCGCTGCTGGTGGATTGTATGTTGCGGTTGCTCGAGCTCCCACCACTATGCAGCAGCAGGGGTGCAGCTGGAGGGAGTAAAGCACGCAGCAGCAGGGGGTTCTGCGCATTCCAAACAACAGCCTGCAGCAGCTGGGGCTGGAGCTAGTAGATTATGAGGCATTGGAGTCAAGTCTCAAAAGTGTTTCCAGGCATTCCAAGCAACAGCGTGCATCTGCAGCAGGTTTCTGGGCGTTCTAAACAGCAGCCTGCACCAGCTGGGGCTACACCTAGATCACGAGGCATTGGAGGGTTGGAGCCCCCAGCCAGGTTAACATTCTTTAAGCAGTAGGTGCATCGAGACACAGCTGGTCTTGTCAGCATCGGCAACACCTTCATTTATTCGTTTATAAATGCATCTCATCTTCTCTAACGTTGGCAGGCAGTGTAGTGTAGGCTGTCTGTATCCTAAAACCATCATTAGTAAAGTTACAGATGTGACTCTTTGAACCCCTCCTCTTGCCTTATCAAGGCATAACCAGGTAGAAATACAATCAGCATAGCAGCAACATTCCGTGAGTAAATATTAGGCAAGTTTCCAGAACGTTTCAATCTTTGGTAGCAAACTTGGTCTCAAGTCAGAGACGAACCCAAACACATGGTCTGATCTGAACATAGAGTGGTGAAGTTGAATAACACATGTACTGTACACAAATAGGGAGCGTAGGCTCTACATCTAAAGAAGAGGTGCTGTGTACACTGGGCAAGGTCATGGTAGAAAAAGAGAATGGAATTCACCATGGACAAGCGTGCAGAGCTGGTTGTAGTTGCTTTGGTCTGGAGGAAAGGATGGTGGAATGTGGAAATGAGAGGAAAAAGGGGACGATGTGAGAGGTAGGGGGGAGCGGGCAAACAAGGAGGACAAGAAAAAGGGGACTCATGGTAAGATGAAAGTCCTGAAGCTATAAGCGAAAATTAGGGGGAACATACAGCATGACTTGATACTGATGAAAGAGGGATAGTTGAATGGTCGCATCAGCACACTTGTTCGCCAACAGGTCTTTCCTCACATCCCTAACGCCTGCCCTGAGACGTCATTGGGAGGCGTGAAAAGGTGAGCCAAACTGATCTCCAATATCGGCTCCTTCAGAGCCGGCACAGGGATTACCTCCAACATCGGCTCCTGAAGGAAACGAGAAGCGACATCCATGGCCAGACGGAATGCAAATCGTCGTAACAACACACGAAACAGGGACCAAAATTACCGAAGTTATTTCCGAAAGCGGTCGACGACTCTTCCCGAATGGTCGTGTCGTTCTCGGGAACACCGATCACCTCGACGAATTGCGAGCTATCCCACGGCGACCGAGTCAACGCGCGAACTGTGACTGTAGCATTGTCACACGTCTGAGCTGTGATTATACCGGGGTCCACGCGCACCACTTTCAAGACCGTCCGGACCTTACGACCCACGAAACGTCGCATCTGCTCTCCATTGACCATCGGAGACGGGTCTGACAAATCCATGGATGTCGCTAAGTCGAATCTAAGCGCGTCGCCTTCTACAATATTAATAAAGAAAAGGGACGGTAGCCCTAAGTAAACTGGAATCTTTGACTGAGGCCCTGGTCCCACACGGTCGGGATGAAAGACGAGTGTCTGTGAAGAGTAGCTTCTAAGCTGTTATGAAAAACTGACGACTGGATCTATCACTCTCAATTCGAGGAGGTGGAAAATCCTGAAGGAAGCAGAAGGCGCCAAGTGGGAGACTTGAGATCACCATAAAAGAATTTGAATATTTGAAATCCTAGTCCAGGGGGGTGGTGGGCTTGGTCTACTCTCGTTCCAAAGTCGGACCGGCAAGTCGAGCTCCTAATATGTTACGTCTTCTGAGAAAAAATGAACCAGCGAGATCAGTTACCGCGGTTACCGAGAGCTCATTCGTAGATTTGCAGTGGTGGAACATGGTCGGCCAGCGCCAGCAGCATCGAAGTTACGGCTCCAGCTTGCGACAGTCAAATTGAGTTTTGGCGACTGTGGTTACCAACCTGGCTTCAGAACATCAGCCGAATCCTGACATCAGTTTCACTCGAGGCTCGAGAGAGGGTCACATATGTTCGGTTTGGATGACGCGTGGTTTGGAAATTGGCTTGCTGTCGGGTTTCGCAACCTGGCTTGGGGTAGCATCAAACGAGTTGGCTTCAGCTTGAAGCTAGGTTTCCTCCAAGTACAGTTCGACGTTTCGCCTTGTCTCGTGTGACGTGTCATTTTGCCCAAGCAAAGTGGGGCGCGCCTGTGCAGCTGTGCCTTGCTGTAGGCACGTTTCTCCTTGTTTAGGGAAAAGATCATACAGGGGCCGAACAGTGCCAGAGAGGTGATCGACCAGGGGCCGAGAGGCCCGAAACTTACCAAACCACTGCGCGACGAGGGATTAACAGGGGGTCTTTGTTTATTGCACATAATTATGTTACTAGTGGCATGTACCGGCTCGCATTTTCGCTCGCGTGTCGTTTAGCGAGCCGACTCTACCGGGAACTTTAGGGCAGCCAGAACAAACTAAAACTCATAGGGAAGCTGGATGTAATTTCGGGATGGATCAACCCTAAATAAGGGGCCCTCCCTGATATTTAGGGTTGATGCCTCCCGAGTCGCATCCGTTTCCGAATGGGTAATATATTTTTTTTCTTGTGCATTTCCGATCGGGTAGGTGATATGTATCACCCAGAATATATTATGTTGTTACGTACTCACGATTTCACACCCCGAATATTTATTCCAGAAGAAGGCGACGCGCGCGTTGTAGTAGACGGCGGTCAAAACCCTAAAAAAATTAAGAACACAAAATTCGGTCCGTTTTAGCAATTTTCTTTTAATCATGGTTCAGCTTGTTCGCCGAGTCGTTTGGTCAGCTCCGGGTTGAAATCCTACGGTCGAGATTTACCGGCCCTACTTTGAACATCCCTCTGGCACTGTTCGGCCCCAATATGATCTTTTCCCCCTTGTTTAGTCACGACGATGCCTGTGCGAGCGACGTCAAGACTGGGCGATCGTCGCGCTTTGTTCGACGACGAGTAACGAACGAACCACGCACGAACCTAGCGTTCAGGTTTCTTCCGGTTTGTCTCCTTTCGAAACTGTATTTCTGCCAAGCCTAGCCTACAGAGCCTTACCTCCTCCGGCAATGTCGGTAGTTTGAATAAAAGCATTCAGGTCGAAGCGCATCCCCAAGTGGTAATGCATTTCAGGTTGAAAAACGCGCACCAGTTCCATCCAATCCAAACCTTGGTCTCAACCTCAACAAATGCTAAAAATGTTCTGTTTCGAAAAAGGTTTGCAGATCTGGCTAAAGCTCTAAGCATTCCGCCAGCAGGTTGGGGAGAGTGACACTTTCAACTAGTAGCTGAACTTCAAAAACAGGAAAACCTCGAGGACCCCACCCATAATTTTTCCCCGGAAATTCGGGCTACCCTTGCTATCATGGGGATTGCTTTTCCCGCCATTTGGGAACCTCGCCGTCATGTAGAGGGGTACATGAGATCGTGCTTGGCACGCATTGATTGGGTGGAACTGGCTCGATTTTGCAATTTTCATCCTCCTCTCTCGCGCAGTCGACTCCTTTGATTCTCTCGCGCTTTTGATGGCTGCATTGTCTTTCGATGTGATGTGACGCCAAGCATCTGTGTTTGGACATCGCCGAGGCACTGCAGCATTTCCGCTCGATCGCCTCTCGCGATAGTGTTCTTGAAGCTCCAAAGGCCAGTTAGAAATTGCAGAATCTAGGAAAGCGATAGTAAGGAATAGTAACACTGACCTGTCAGTATGCGCTTGTCGAGGCGACTCGAGGCAAACTCGTAGCTTTCTCTTCGCACTGTGAATCGTCAGGCTGAACATAATTATTCGATACTATCAATCATGTCGCCTCTTGCTCTGGGAGCAGTGAAAATACTATCTCTCGCGCTCCTCACCGTCACCATACTATCGCATCAGATAAATTCCGGTGAGTTCTCTGCACGTGCAGCCCAACACTCACGCGCCTCGAATCAAGCAATAAGCTTAAACGATCAATCAAACGACTAGATACGGGTAAGCAATGATAGGATAGCATCCACGAGGGTTGCAGCCCAACTACTCTCGATGGTCGCCTCCGATACTCTCAGTCCTAAGTTTAGACCGGACCCTTCAACTCGCGAGTGATTCCTTGCCCAATGCAACACTCATGAACGTTAAACCGATGCAACACTCATGAACGTTAGTCCGATGCCCTCTTTTCCTACACAACCGCCTCCTGTTCTCCCAGGGCCGGTGTTCCGCGCAGCTGCGGAGTCTGCGGCGCCGTCGCCGTACGAGCGCGAGTTTGCGCAGTATCGCGGAGCGGACGGGTTGCTGTCGCTCGACTATCTCAAAGCGCCGCACACGTCGCACATCGATGGCCGAGGCCGTAAAACTCTCGATCAGATATTCAAAGTCGTATTTGTGAGTGCTCTCCTCGCTTCCGCTCCGATCCCTCCTCGTTTCCGCTCCCAATGCTCTTCCGCCCCTCACTCCCTTTGCACTCCCTTCCGCTACTTTCCGATCCCTGCTTCCAATCCCTCTTCCCTATAACTAGATCACTTGCATTCTCCTCTAGACCCGTTACTCCCCCTGTGGGCTCCCCATCTTCCCCTTACCTCCCCATTCCACCCCTTTTCGTCTTCCCCCTTCCGTCAGTGCTCCCCCGATCCCGGCCCCGCGGCCCCGCCGACTAGCAACCTCCTAAAGAACCCGCGATTTCAGGAAGGCCTGTCGTCGTGGCAGGCCTTCGGCGAGTCGGCCTTACGCCGCGTGCAGGCCGCGAACTACTCGTACGGCGTGTCGTACGCGCGCCGCGTGGACTCCGCGGGGCCGGCGCAGATTATACGAAACTTGCCGGCCGCGGCGTACGAGCTAGCGATCTGGGTGAAGCTAGGTGCCGCCAGCGGGCCGGCCGCTAAGACGGCCGGCTTGCCTGCCGCCGGCCGGCAGTACGTGAACGCTATGGCGAAGATCGACGGCCAGTACGTGTGCATCGGCGGCGCGAACGCGCGGTTGTCGTGCTGGACGAAGGTGATTGGCGGATTCACGCTGCATCGGACGGCTAGCGAGGTCGCTGTGTACATCCAAGGCGCGACGGTCGGGACGGAGATCTTGGTGACGTCAGCATCGCTGCTGAAGGTGGATACGGGGATGTGGCGACAGCGGCAGAACGAGAATATTAAGAAGGTAAATCAGTGAAAGAGGTTGGCGTCAGTTTTTTTAGCCCGTTCAAGCAGCACGAAAGTGTCGCTTGTAGTGATGCGATGACATCATGTTCTCGAATTGGAAATGCAAGAAGTGCGGAGCAGGAGCAGTGTTGTCTGGTCCAACCTTTGGAGTTCGCTTTCCTCGGAGTCTCCTGCTCTGCACTCCTATTCTCATCCCTCTCACCTCCTCCCTCCTCCCTTTTCCCCTCTACCTCTTCCCACCTTTTTTCTCCCCCCTGCCCTCCTCGCTCTTCCCTACCTCCTCCCCTCGTCCCCCCTCCCCACAGTACCGCCAACGGGACGTGACGCTACGAGTGCACGGAGCAGGGGCGGTGTCAGCGCGCGTGCAGATCGACCAAGTGACTTCGGAGTTCCCGTTTGGAGCCAATGTCAACGGCGCGATCCTCTACGACAAAAACTACCAGCGGGTGCGTGTGGGTTGTTGTGTGTGTGGGTGTGGGTGTGGGTGTGGGTGTGGGTGTGGGTGTGGGTGTGGGTGTGGGTGTGGGTGTGGGTGTGGGTGCGGGTGCGCGGTAAGCAGCAACTGACGTTGGGTGTGAATGCGTATCCTCGTGCAAATGCGACAAAGGAAAAGATACAAAGTCACAACAGGCAGTCTGAAGCTAACTGTTAACGTTACGAATGCAAGTGTGAATGGGTGTCGCTGCGATCGAAAAAAAAAAAAAAAAAAAAAAAAAAAAAAAAAGGATCATGCCATGTTACGAATGAAATTATGAAATCAACTCCTTCTTTCGACCCTCTTTCTTCCCCCTTCCACACCTCTCCACCCGCTTCCACCCACTCCTATCCCTGTTACCTCTTCTGTCCCCCTCCGCAGTGGTTCCTAAACAGGTTCAACTGGGCGGTATTCAACAACGAGGCCAAGTGGTATTTCAACGAGCAGAGCCCGGGCGTGCTAGACTACAATGTGACAGACACCCTGGTGCGATGGTTCACTCCTTTCAACTCTCTTTTTTCCCCCTTCCACCCCTCTCCACCCCATTTCACACACTCCCATCCCTTCAGTGGTTCCTAAACAGGTTCAACTGGGCAGTGTTCAACAACGAGGCCAAGTGGTATTTCAACGAGCAGAGCCCGGGCGTGCTAGACTACAATGTGACAGATGCGCTGGTGCGATGGTTCACACAGAGGAACATCAAAGTGCGCGCTCACAACATCTTCTGGGCTGTTGAGAAATTCGTGCAGACGTGGGTCAAGGTGAGTGAG